AGGTCTCTGTGGTCTCTGGGGGGGGGGTGGATTTTTTATTCTGCCCATTCAACACTGGAACTGTGCAGGAGACAAGCTCCGATGCTAGACTCTTGCTTCTAAGAGTGGACTCTCCAGCGATTAGGGACTTGGCATGGGGGGCTCTTAGATCCAGGAAATACAGGGCTAGAAATCGGGTCTCCAGGTAGAAATTTGTCTCTCCAGGAAAGAAACAGGATCCGTTTCTGGATTTCTGGAAGCCCAGGGATGGAACTGTGGATAAGGACCCTCGGGTCCCAGGCAAGGCAGAGACAGTTGAATGGAGGGCACGTGGGGTCTGTACCTGCGAAGAAGCAGACTCGCCAGAGGCCGGCGTGCAGTGCCATCTTGACCTCCGTGGTCTGGTTCTGCGGCAGGACCGTTCCCTCCTCCATGTACAGCCAGTAATCAGTGCTGACCGCGATGCCCACGAGCAGCAGGCCACACGCCCCAAACACGCTGCTCAGCAGGGTCAGGGCGCGGCTGCTGCAGTGACCCATCCTCAGCGGCGGGGGGCGCCCTGCGGGGCCTGAGACACGCGAAGCTGCTGCCTTGGAGAGCCCTGAGGGGACTAGCTAGAGTCCCCAACCCCAGGCAGCCACCTGGGACACCGATCCCAAGCCAGAGACACCATTTCTTAGACTGAAACTTCTCAAATCTGACCTCTGTGCTTAACCCATGACCCCATTTCTGCATTTGAACCAGTGACATCAACTGTTGACCCTCAACCCCAGGACTGGACTTCCCAAACCTGACACTTGTGTTCTGGCTCTGGATCCTGATGAGAGACCCACCACACCAGATCCCTGACCCCAGGATAAGATTTCAGATCTTATCCCCAGATCCAGAGATTGAACCTTAGCTCCAACTGTGTGCCTGGACCTGGGTCCCAAATATCATAACGCTGACTAGAAACTCAACATCTATATTCTCAATGCCAGAACCAGGCCCTCCAACCCTAACCTTATGCCCTAACCAGAGACCTTAATCCTAGACACCAGCCCTCACCAGAATCCTTAACCTTGAGCCTGGACTCAGAAACTATTACATGGATCAGACATTTCAACACTAGAACCAGGGGTGTCTGGGTGGCTCAGTCGTTTAAGCGTCTGCCTTTGGCTCAGGTCATGATCCCAGTGTCCTGGGAACAAGCCCCGCATCCAGCTCCCTGCTCAGCGGGAAGCCTGCTTCTCTCTCTCCCTCTCCCCCTGCTTGTGTTCCCTCTCTCGCTGTGTCTCTCTGTCAAAAAATAAAAATAAAATCTTTAAAAAACCAAAACAAAACACTAGAACCAGGCATATCCCCCCAATCCTGACTCCTGGTACCCTGACCCCTTTCTTTTGGACCCTGCTAAATAATTACCAGAAATCCCCCAAGTAGGTCACTAACCAGAACCCTAACTAAGTGTCCTACTAACCAAGGACCCACTAATCAAGACCCGAGCAGAGGTCTAAACCTAAGTTTAAATCCTTTGACTCTTATCTTGACCTTTAATACCCAATTCTAACACCAGGACCATGACCCATGACCTTCTAACTTTGATCCTGTGCCATGACCTCAATTTGGTTCCCCAATCTGAGATCGCGGCTCACGACTCAGATCTCAGGTTCCAGAACCCTAATTCCCCCCATCCCAGATCCGGGCAGGCCCCTGAACCTAGGATGCTGGGACTCCATCTCAGACTGCTGGATCCAGAACACTGGGATCCCGAGACCTGGAGCCTGGATTTTGGCTAGAGACTCCAGAATGTCAAAACCATGATCTGGGACCCCCCCCTTCCCCTGCAACTCAGCACCCGAACCAGAGTATCCTAGACCATCCTTGAACCTAGGGATCAGTGCTCTGAACACTAAAATTCCAAATCAGGAAGCCCAGGATCCCCATCCCCCTCATGGGCCATCACAAGATCCCCAAATTCCTTACCAGAGATTCTGGACTTCAACTTCCACGCTAGGACTCCCAATTACAGACCCTCTTCAACATCTAGTCTGGAACTCTGACCCCTCTAACACCAGGCCCTCAAAACAAGAGATCACCAGTTCATAGCTGTGCCCTTCCAGATTCCAGTCAGAGATCTAGAGATTCTAACTAGGGAGTTCCTAATCTCTTATCTACCACTCTTGCCCCCCCACCCCGCCCTTAACTTTTCCCTAAACTACACAATCCCATGATCCGGGGGACTCAACTTGGGATCCCCATCCTTCCTCAGCCAAAGACATCTATATCCCTGAATATCAGCGAAATACCAGCGATCCCCATCATCTTATTTATCTATGAAGGTTAAGACTCCTAAACACTCCCCAACAATGCAGCCAAGACTTAAGACCCGTTTTTCTCTAATAGGAATTCTTGGAGCCTTGAAACTCTGCCCCATGCCAGTGACGATCTTGGAGTCAGACAACTTTCATCAGCCCCCCCCCCCCCCACACACACATCTCAGCATGCAGAGCCCCCATCCCACCAGGCCCCACCCCCAGCCTCCTGGAGGAGTCAGGGATCCGAGTCTGGCAGAGCTCTGACCAGCTTTTCCTCCCATCCCCCGTCCCAAGCCCTGACCGCCAGCAGCCGGCTCCTGTTCCAGCCCGCTCAGCTCAGAAACAAGCACCAAAAACCCAGCCACTCTGATTGCCTGAGTCCAGGTAGCGGACCTCAGCTCCCCCCGCACCCCCACCAAGGCTCCTAGGACTCCTAGGACAGCTGGGACCTTGCCCATTGACACCTTTCTCACTTCCCCTTTGAACCCCCTCCTTTGCTCCGATTCCGCCTCCCTCCAAATGGCCCGCCCGGATCTCCTCATTTTCCTCCAACCCTTCCTCCTTGGGGACCCTCCCCCAGGCCTGCAGCCACCTCCTTTTCCTTCTTTATCTATCGCAGTCTCTCCGGGATTCAGGCATTCGGATCCCAGGGGTCCCGTTCTCCAAGCCCCAAGTCCAAACTCCGTCTCCCTCCAGTCTCTTCAGCAACGCATTCCCCGTTTCTGGGGACCCCTTCTCAGACACAACCTGCTCTTACCGGGCCCGGGCCCTCCCGCCTTCCTCCAGCACCGCCTCCCTCAAGGACCTGGCCGGCACCCTCCTCAGGGCTCACGGTCTCTAAGACTCGGACATTAAGAGTATAGTTGCCCCACTCCAGGACCCTAGGACCCCGTCCTACCGGATTCCCTAGGCCCAATGTCCCCCCACCCCTCACTGCCTCCCGAACTCGGGCGTCCTGACCGCCAGAATCCCACACCCCGGGGCCACTGAGGTCCCTCTCAGCCCCAACGCCCGGCTCCCAGCCACCTCAAGGGGAGCCCCCACTCCTTCCAGGACCCTCCCCTCGCGCTCACCTCGCTCAGGGCTGGGCGCACGCTCCGGGCCGCGGGCCCCGCAGCCGCATGACCGGCCCCGCGGCTTCCCCCGGCCGCCGCCGCCGCCACCGGGGTCGCCGGTGCCCACGCCCCCCGCCCCCGCCCCGGAGCCCGGCGTCCCGGCCCCCTCCCGGCCTCCCACCCCCCACCCCCCGCGCCCGCGGCCTCACTCGGCGGACGGCGCCGGGAGCTGGGACCGGCGGCCGCTCATTGGCTACTGCGGAGGAGGGGAGGGGCGGGGAGGGAGGGAGGAGGAGGCTGCAGGGAGAGAGGGAGATGGGCCTTGAGAATGGGGGAGGCAGGGAGGGAAGGAGAATAGAAACAGAGGCAGAGAGCCCGAGAGGGGCAGGGGCACACAGAGAGGCAGAGAGGCAGAGCCGAGGATCTAGAGTCCCACCGAGACCTCGAGGCTGAGAAATTCTGAGACTCGCAGGTCTGGAGACTGGGGGAAACACAGAGGTGGCCTAAAAGAGAGAGAGGGAGAAAAGAAGAGGCAGAGATCAGGTCTAAGACCCCCGCTGCCCTCGGGCTCAGAGATTCTGGGGCTCTGGAAGTGGACAGGTCAGAGAGACAGAGAGACAGGGAAACGCTCACAGGCCCTGGGCTGAGAGAGGCTGAGACCCAGACACCTTGAGCTAGGGAAAGAGAGAGAGAGAGAGACAGAAGGAGAGAGAGACCCTGAGAAGGAGAGAGAGCAGGGGCGATCCTGGGGCTCCCCTGATAAGGACTGGGGCTCTGGCCAGGCCTGGGGCGGAGCCTGGGGTCTGGGCAGCTGGAGGAGGCGGGAGGGGGCGTCCCGGGCCGGGGTCCCCAAAGCAGCAGGCGGGCGCAGAGCGGAGCCGGGTCCTGCAGCCGCCGCGGAGCCGGGAGCCGGGCCAGCCCCCCCCCCCTCACCCGCCGTGATGTCAGCGGGGCCACTCTTAAAGGGGCAGGCCGCCCGCCGAGGGTCGGAGCTGGGGCTGGGGGCCGCGGGCAGAGCATGGGGGTACCGCCCCGGTGCTGAGGGAGCCAAGGGGAGCCCCAGCATCCAACTGGACCGAGTCCCGGAAGCCCAAGAGCCTGCAGAGACGAAGAGACACCGGGGCTCCCCGAGGGAGCCTGCGAAGCTTTGGGGCTCAGTCCCCTCCAAACACACAGACATGGGCACACCATTCAGCTGGCCTGCCCGGGTCCGGGACTACATTTTCCATCAGCCCTGGCGGTGAGGGGCCGCACTTGGGGGGAGGGTCCACCGCGGTGTCTGCTGGGAACTGTAGTCTGTCGGGACTGTTTTTCCACCCCCGCCCCCCGCCCCCGCAAGTGGGTCAAGGCGAAGAGGCCCGGACGCGCGTCGGCCTGTCTCCGGCCTCTCTGGCTAACTCTTAAGCTCACGGGCTCTGCTTGCTTGGTTTCTCTGTCGTGGGGTCTCCCAGGGATCACTTCTCCAGGTCTCTCCCTAGGAGGTTTGCCTTTCATCTCCCCTCTCAGGACTGCCCCCACCCCCGCCCCAGTCTCTGGGTCTCAGTGTGGGTCTGTGAGCTTCTGTATGGCTCTGGGTGAGTAGGTGCGTGCCTGGGTCTCTGCGCCGGGGGGTCTCTACCTGACACTCCCAGCGGTCTGCGTGTCCATCTCTACGTCCTTGTGCACGTGCCCACTTCGCTCCTCTCCGCGGCGCTCGTGCCTCCCCCCACGCCCGGCTCTGCTCTTTCCCTCTGGCGCTGTGGGTACCTTCTCCCCACTTTGTGGGTCTCTGTGCTTCCCCCCCTCTCTGTCGCCCTGCCCCCAGCCTCTGGGTGTGCGTTTCCGTGTACAGTCACTGTCCCACCTCCACACCCCCTTCATTCTGCAAGCTTAGAAGAAAACATCCAAACACTTCAGCATCAGCATCCCAAATTTATTCTCCAGTAGCTGTGGCCGGGTGGGAGAGCCAAAGAGAAGAGTGGGCGTGGGGAGGAGGAGAGAGTCCCGGAGAGTGGCAGGCACGGGGTACGGCGGGGGGGGGGGGGGGACAGGAGGGAGGAGGGGTTCCGAGCAGGACTGGAGCCATGCACCTGGCAGGCGAGCAGTGATGGGTTTAGGGTGGGGGCGTCTAGAACAAAAGCTGATTGAGAACAGCTGGGGTAATAAGAATCCTTCATACATCCCAGGAATCCCTAGAGTGTAGAAGAGGAACGCTGGAGCATGGGGGCACAGCCTCCCACTTACTCCAGAATGGAGTGGAGATGGGGGGTCGGAGGTGGGGGTTTGTTCTGGAATCCAAGTCTGGAACAGCGCACCCCATGAGACTATTTCCCAGAAAGGAAAAAAAAAAAAAAAAAAGGAGAGGCACAGAGTCTACCAAAATGGAGTCTAGAACCCCATGGAATTGGGAGAGTGGTAGTGGTTCTGGAACCCGGTAGAGCAGAGGCCAGAACACTGAGGTGGGGGAGAACCCAGGGCTCAGCACAGCAGCATCTAGAACGCGGTAAGGCTCTAGAGACTGTATGGAGTGTAGAATGCCAGGAACGCTGCGGAGGGGCATCTAGCACCCACAGGGCAGAGGCTAGAATGCTGGGGAGCAAGAACAGAATGGGAGAGGGGGTGAAGAGGGGCTAAGGCTGGAGCGGGGAGGGAGCGATGGGGACACCTAGTGGCGGCAGGACAGATTACATGACTGGCACAGGCGGGGGGCTGATGGGGCTGCGGGCGTCCGGGTGCACAAAATCCGGGTTCACGTAGGTGAAGCCTTGGAAGTCGGCCTGGTCGATGCTGGCCAAAACTAGGCGGTCTGGCGGGGTCAGTGCTGGCGCCGCCCGCGTGAAGAATTTGTCGAAGTTCTCGCCGCTGCGTCCACACTGTGGGAAGCACAGGGGAAGGAAAGATGAAATTCTCTTGGCTCCTTGGGTGTCCCTCTGCGTCCCCTCTGTGCATCTCCTGGCTCCTTTGGAATGTCTGCACATCCTTCACGTCCTCTGCATCTCCCGTTAGGGCGTCTCCACAGAGGGAGCCCCACCCCACCTCCACATATAGGAACTGGAGCTCCTGGGTACCCCCACCCCGAGGGACCAAGGTTTGTTCCCGAAAGGTGCCTGACCGGACGGGGTCTGAACGGAGGGGCGATCTCCAGTCGCTCCAAGCGCTCCCAGTCCATCCAGCGGAAAAAGCCATGAGCACGGATGGCGGGCTCCCCGTCTGGCCCTGAGCCCAGGCGCTTCGCTGGATGCTTAGTTAGGAACTGTGGAAAACACAGAGACACACAGACAGACAGAGTCCCGGACAGGGAGGCACAGAGAACGAGCAAGAGAGAAAGACAAAAACAGAGGAACAGAGACACAGCATAGAGACCCAGAGAGAGGAGAATAGCAAGGGGGAACAGGGGTGGGGGAGGTGGAGAAAGAGGAATGGGGGAGAATAAATGAGAATGAGATAAATGAACTCCAAACCCAGAGACCCGAGGACAGACAGAGAGAGAGAGAGAAATCAGGGTATCAGGGTATGAGGGGCAAGAAACCCAGAAAGAGGAAGGGGACAAGTGAAGAATCCCCAAAAGGGATGGAGGAGAAGGAGGAGACAAAGAGAGAGAGGAGAGGAAAAGGGAAGGATGAAGGGAGGGAGAGAGAGAGAAAGCGGTTGGAGACCCAGAGCAAAGAGGGAACAGAGATCCCGAGAGAGGGGGAGATAGAGACCCAGGGGAAGGGCAGAGACCCAGAGAAGGTGGGAGATAGAGCAGATGTTCGGGGGAAGCAGAGATGCAGAAAGAGGGTGGAGATTCAGGAGACAAACCCCCAGAGAGAGGGGTAAAGATACAATATGAAGGCAGAGACTCAGAAAGAGAGAAGGAGAGTTCCAGAAAGAGGACAGAGACCCAGAATATGTGTGTATGGGAGTTGGGGGTAAGAGGGGAATAGACACCCAGATAGAGGGGGACAAAGATGCAAGAGGTGCATCCCCAGGGACACAGAGAAAAGGTGGAGACACAGGAAGCCCCATCGAATGTAGATGGAGGCAGAGGCGGGAGACAGAAGCCAGAGAGCGACAGTCAGAGAGAATGGAGACAGGAGCCAGAAGCAGAAGGGCGCTAATGCTTGTTGAAAAGCTGCCACGGGCTAGACTCTTTCTCTTGCACTAACTCCATGACCCCAGTAGAGGAGGCAGGCTCCCGGAGTTTTGGTGGCTTGCCCAAGATCCCACAGGAAGAGAAGCGGCAGGTGTTAGGTTCACCTGACCCACCCGGTTCTGGAGAGGCAGACCCTGGCCTTCCAGCACTCCACACAGTGAGCTGGGGAGTGGGTGCAGCGGAGGGGAAGGAGACAGAGGCCATCCTTGGACTGGAGGGGATAGCAGGGCAGTCAATTAGTGTTCTAATGACATCTCTGTATTATACAAACTTTGCCAGCAGATGGAAGGGCAGTAACTTGAGGGGTGGGAGCCTTTTTCTAATGTGCACAGAACCACTGCATGGGAAGCCCAGGATGGTGATGGTAGGGCACAGGGGTTGTCTGGAGGCTCTGGGGGTCAGGGGGCTCTCACCCCCTTGCAGATCGCCACAGCTTCCCGGGAAAGCGACTTGGGGTAAGTGACAGTTTGTTCCATGATGGCCTGAAACAGCTCTTCCTCATCCTCCCCATCAAAAGGGGGCTGAGGAAATAGAGGGATAGAGTCAGAGACTTGACAAACTGCCTCTCCCCCACCTTCCACACCCTCATCATCCACCAAGAACACAAACACCCCCCTCCAACATCCTAGGGAAAAATTGGACCAAGCCACCAAAGCTTTCTCTCTCTCCATCTCAGACTCTCTGCTTTCCCATCTCAGATGCACCAGCTCTCTGCACCTCCTTGCTGTTCTGTCTTTCTCTGCTATGCAAATCAGCAGGGCATTAATTAGACAATATGTCACTTAAATAGAAGAGAGACCAAAAAAATGCAGGAAAAACTGTAAAAGCATTCTCTTGGTTAGATGAGTGGCTTCCAGTCTTCTGGGATTAGGAAAAGCAATACCAAGGCAAGAATTCTTTTCTTTCTTTCCTTTTCTTCTTTTTTTTCTTTTCTTTTTCCTTTTTCTTTCTTTCTTTCTTTTTTTTTTTTTTTTTTTTTTTTTGAGAGCATGCAGGAGCAGGGGAGGGGATGAGTGAGGAGCAGAGAGAGAAAGAATCCCAAGCAGGCTCCACGCCCAGCGAGAAGCCCAACACAGGGCTTGATCTCAGGACCCTGAGATCATGACTTGAGCCGAAATCAAGAGTCAGATGTTTAACTGACCGAGCCACTCAGGGGCCTCCCAAGGAAAGGATTCTTAATGTGGGGTCTAGGAAGTCTGTTTATACAATTGAGAGGGTCCATGAGTTTGAACAGGGGGAAAAGTACATCTTTATTTTTAAAAATCTCTAACTGAAATTTAGCATTCCCTTATAAACGTAGGCAAAAACCACAACAGTAGTACTTTGACTTCATCACCAACAGAAACCACAGATATTTTCTTAGCACATTAGATTTGCAGATACCTCAAAATGTAGGTCATCTCAACTTCAAGATTCCTGGTAGACCTTCCTGTTTATTTCCCACCATTGTGAGACATTACCATTTAATTCATTAATAGGAAATCACATATATGTCCACATCCCAGTGTTCAATATTTACCTAATTGTGTACCTTTAAATTAATTTAGTTGGCTGAACTAAGTTAAATTAAAATTTTAAAGTTTTGATAGCCATTTAAATATAATTGATTTCCTTTGTAATCCTATTATTTTAGTTCAGGCATTTAAACACATTGTTCTGAGAAGGGGTCCTTGGCACCAAAAAAGTTTTAAGAACCTCTGGCCTAAAAAAAAGAAAAAGAAAAGAACCCTGGCCTGTGGGAAAATAATGCTTCAGGACCAAGGACAGCACTATCCAGGCAGGACATTCCCAACTGCTTAGCACCCCTCCTTAGATGGCAGACATCCCTTCCTAACCAGCTCCTTTGAGAGGCCATGTAACAGATGCCATCCCACACCGTGTTGCCTTTAGCCAGGCCAGCCTCTCCCAGCTTCCCTTACCTGTCCTGCCAGCATCTCATACAGCAGAACCCCAAAGGACCACCAATCCACAGACTTCCCATAGGGCTGGTAGGCAATGATCTGGTGAGGAAGGATGGAAGTCAAGGAATCCTGGTTTGTGCTTTAAGAAGCCTAAGACCCCTTCTGGCCTCACCCCCCTGGGAACCCTACCCACTCGAAGTGTTTTCAACACAAACTCTTCCCACTCGGAACACTTTGGCCAGAGCTCCATCTTTTTGGACAATTCACAAACAGAATTTACCTACTTAGAATATTCCTTTGGTCCCAAAAATAAAGACCATCTAAGGACCAAGTCAAAAGTTCCACCCAGCTAGAATATTTAGGTAACTGGACCTTCTCCTTAAGGAGAGGGTAAAATAAGGGCTAAATTTCAGAGACCAGAGAGTCTTAAATCTGGATGCATTTAAGATTCATCTAGGGGGCTGTTCCTAGCCCTAAGAATTCCAGTCTCAATAGGTCAGAGTCAACAATATGTGTGTTTTTCAAAATCTCCGCAGGTGATTCTGACTCCCAGCCATGTTTTGAAACCATGGGCATTGATCACACGATGCAAAGGCATTAGCATTGAATCACCCTGGAAGATTAAGAAAGGCAGCACTAACACCACACCCTCTCTCAACTGAGACCCTCTACCTACTTACCTAAGGTCAGATCATTAGCTCCACCCCCTTAACAAAGTCCGAGTACACTCCCCCCCTTGAAATGTTCAGGAGACAGCCTCCACATGCCCAGTGTTCTGGGGGGACGGGCCCCACCCACTCAGAGTACACTCGAAGTTGTCTCTACCTTCTAGAACAGTCCTGCAACAGGTCCTGCTCTCTGAGAATTCTTAGGAGCCGAGCGGGTCCTGCTCTTTTAGAACACTCACCCACCTGTCCGCCCACTTTGCCAGCTTAGGGACCCAGCTCCGCCCACTGGGAATGCGGGGCGCACAGGCCTCTCTGAGCTGCTTGCTGTTGGACCACCCACGACTCATGTAAAGACCCCAGGGTCAGGACCCCCACATTCCGAATGTTAGGCAACCAGCCACACACACACACCACCCGCCCCTGCGAAGTTGCACAGCGCCAAGAGCAGCACAGGGAGGGTACCTCGGGGGCTATGTAGTCTGGGGTCCCGCAGAAGGTGCGGGTCGTGGTCCCGGGGAAGACGTTCTCCTTACACATGCCGAAGTCAGTGATTTTGATGTGTCCTTCGGCATCCAGCATCACGTTGTCTAGTTTCAGGTCCCTGGTGGGTGGGAGGCAGGATGGATAGTTGAGGGACGGGTGGAGTTCCACAGGCTGGAGCAGCAAGCTTTTGGTTTTTGTTTGTTTGCTTTGTTTTAAAGTAAGCTCTATGCCCAACGTGGGACTTGAATTCATGACCCCGAGATCACCAGTCGCTCGCTCTACCCAGTGGGCCAGCCAGGTGCCCCTGCAGCCGTGAGTTTGATCCCTTTCCCTCTAGGGGCCTGATGACCTCCAGTGAAAGGCCCAGACCACTCACCGGTAGATGATGCCCTGATTGTGAAGGAAGAAGAGGCCGATGGCGATTTCCGCTGCATAGAACCTGGAGAAGGGGGCGGGGAGTCAGAGGTCAAAGACTGGGGCCCCTCCTCCCCCCACCCCTCCTCTCTTGGGCGAGACTCACGCTGCATGGGGCTCCTTAAACTTGCCCAACTGCTGAATGTGGTACATCAAGTCGCCCCCGGTGACATACTCCATCACAAAATACAGGCGATCCTGGGGGGAGGGGGGCGGACGGGCGGGGGGGGGGCCTTAGAGGAGGGGACACGCTGACCAGAGGGTAGGACGCGTCCATTCCCGCCCCCTCCAGACAAACTTGGAAGGCTCCGGATCCACCCAGTCAGCAACCCAGAGCATCTGGCAGGTCCGGAGGACTCTAAGCCAGCCCCACAGAATCTCCACCTGCCCTATCCCCTGCTACTCGGAACTGGTCCCGCCCTCTGCGAATGGAAGACTGAGGCCCCCACATTCCCTGGAAATCCCAGGGGCACCGCCACCTCTTCCCGCACCTCCTCACGCAAACGCAACCCTGACCACCTGTTAGGAACCAGAGGTGTTTCGGGCCTCACTTGCAATGGACAATAATGTTTCTTTAAATCCAGGAAGCTGACTACGTTTATCCAGAGCTCTTTGAAGGAGTCATGCCCTCTCCAACCTCAGGTGGTTCTCACTCCTTGTCCCGTCCCACGAACTGCGGGACACGCCCCATGTCTGATGAGACCTTCTCTCAGAATCCAAGAGTGACGACCTCGTTACCTGGAGCCCAGCTGTTGGCAGGCCACTCAGAAGCCATTCTCCTCCCCACACTCCCTTTACTCAAACCTCCTTGGCTCAGAACACCCCCACTCAAGACCCCGCTGGCTCAGGCCACGCCCAACAGGCTCCCATCCCTCTGGCCACGCCCAGTCAGCGTGCAGGAGGTTCTTTTGCCTCGCCAGAATCTCGGAATCCCGGAGCAGATGTCTGACCTGAGCCAGCCTATGCACCTCCCCTTCCTTACCGGGGTCTGGAAGGTGGAGTGCAGCTGGGTGAGAAAGTGGGGCCGCCCCCCCGGGCCTCGGCCCCCCAGGGCCAGCACTCGCTTCTCCACCAGGGTGCAGTCCACGTCATCATCCTGAACAATCACGTCTTTCTTCAGGATCTTGATGGCGTAGAGCTCATCAGAGCCCCTGCGCTCAGCCAGCATCACCTAGGGACAGAGCCCCAAAAGGCCCAGTCCATCTTGGGAACAAACCCAGTGATGCAGGTCCCTACCCCGCCCTTTCAGGGACACAGAGAAAGGGAATCCCAGGTCCTTCCTCTCTCTCTCTCTCTCTCTCTCTCTCTCTCTCTCTCTCTCTCAGGGGACCAGGTGCCCTGATTTTGCTGAGCACTCCCTCAGGGAAAGCATCCGAATCTTTATGCCTGTCCTCTCAGGGGAACTCAGGGGTCCCATCGAGCCCTTTTTGGGGACTCAGTTGCCTAGTGTCCCTCCCTAAAGACCAGGAATCTGATCTCCCCCCAGACATCCTCCCCTTTCCCCCCTAGGACCCCAGGAATCCAACCTTCCCAAAACTGCCTTTTCCTAGAACCATGAGGAAGCTGAAGTCAGAGATGTGCAGACGTCCAGGGCTTGTCCCAAAGAAACAGCGCTTGGAGTCGGTGGGACTGGGGGATGGGGAAGGGATGGGAGAGGAAGAGGGACCCATCCGCACCCGCTGTGAGAAAGGGGAGAGATGCAGAGGTAGTTAGACCCCAGACGGGCATATGCCCCCGAGAGAGAGCATCCAAGAATGAAAGGGATGTGGAGAGACAGAGAGAAAAAGAAAGTTGTCTCTGCCCCCTCCCCATCCCCCAAGTTGGCTTAAGAACTTGCACTGGTTTTCCACAGCCTGGAGGGTTGGTCATTTAACTAACACTCAGACATTTACTATATGCCATTAGATAACCTGTTATCACCCCCCCCCATTTTATTTTTTATTTTTAGGTAATCTCTACACCCAACATGGGGCTCAAACTCACAACCCCAAGATCAAGAGTCTCATGCTCCACTGCCTGAGCCCGCCAGGTGCCCCCACACCCACACCCATTTTAGAGAAGAGGAAATTGGCACAGAGACATTATTAAATAACTTGCCCAATGTCACACAGCAGATTAAAAAGCAGAGCCAGAAATCAAAATCCATTAAAGCCAGAGACGGCGTCTCGCCCTCCTTTTTGTGTCTTCAGCATCGTCCAGCACTGAGGGTGCTGAATGGACGAAGGTCTCTCAGGACACAAGCGCTGAGCGCATTTCCTATTGCTCAACCTTCAGAGCACACCCAGAGTCAGAACACAGACACGACCACTGCTTTCTGCTCCTCCCACCTGCGTCTGCACAGAGCCTCCTCTCCCCTTCCCCCTCTGCCTCTGTTCTCTACACAGAGCTCGTGTCCTGTTCAGGCCTAAACCACCTCAGGCCACCTTTGATGCTCCCACCCCCCCACCCTATCTCACCCAGTTTAAAAGCTAAAATCCTGGGGTGCCTGGGTGGCTCAATCCTTAAGCATCTGCCTTTGGCTCAGGTCATGATCCCAGGTAGCCTGCTTCTCCCTCTCGCACTCCCCCTGCTCGTGTTCCTGCTCTCGCTATCTCTGTCAAATCAATAAGTAAATAAAATCTTTAAAAAGCTAAAATCCTTCCAGTGAATGACAAGTCACACCCCTTCCCTCTCTGATTTAATGTCCTACTTTTTCCCACCCTCTCCCCCTCTTCAGCCCCACTGTCCTCCTTGCTTTGCTACATACACTCCCAGCCTGCTCCCACCACAGGGCCTTTGCACCTGCTCTTCCCTCTGCCTGGAAGGTTTTCCATCCTTCAGCTTTGAAATCTGGTCTCTCTCTCCTGTGCCTGGAGAATCCCGCACTCCCTCCTGGACTCACCACCCCGCTCAGAAGCTTTCTCTGGCTCTCCCAGGCTGAGCAGCTGCTTCCGGCACTCCCCAGTGCCTGAGGCTACTACCTCCATTATCAAACATAGTCCTTCTGGATGGATGTCTCTATCTGTACCTTTCTCCTACTTTGAAATTGGAGCTCCCCAGGGAATGGACTGATTCTACTCCCAGAACAGGGTTCGGCTTATGTGACACCTCAGGAAATAGGTGTTGAGTGAGTGAGAAAAGGAATGGAGGACAGAAGGCCACAGTGATAAATAGAAAAACTCAAGGATCCGTTCAGGTGTCACCTCCTCAGGGAAGTCCCTCCTTGGCCACTCCCCCCCCCCCCCCCCCGCCCCCCAGGCTGGCTGAGCAGCTCCTCCAGGCTTCTCGGTGCCCTGGGCTACCTCTGATGTAGTACATCAGGGCCAGGTTCCCTTCCGGGCTGCTAGGTTTGCTCAGCAAGCACAAGACCGGCCACCAAGTCTGTGCTCAGCCCATGGGAGTGGAAATGAAAGCAGGTATCAGGGGAGCGAGACGTGGGGACAGACATGCAGACCACAGGAATGAAACTCTCCATTCCGGGCCTGAGCTCTACTCACCTCATACAGTTCCAGGGGGTAGTTACAGGCCTGGGGGAGAAGAAAGCCAGAGTCAGAGCACCCAGGGAGGTAGGAGGTTGCCCTAGAGCCTAGGGTGGCGACTCCAAACCCCCAAGCCATGGGAATGGATAGGAACTCTAATTCCCATCACACCCTGGGGCAGGAGTCCCGAGAAAGGCAGGGGAAGGAGCCCCGGGGTCTTCTGGGAATTGTAGTCCCAGTTCGCGCAGGCACCCAGCCGCTCTGAACTGTGGCAGGCAGGGCTGGACTCCCCCTGGGGGAAGCCGGGCCGAGTACCTCAAACTTCTGGAGGAGGCTGCAGTTGTCAGCATCAGCCACCGGCACATTGTAATATTCGCCCTCCTCTTGGTTCAGTAACTTGTACCTGACATACAGACGGAGACCGGAACCGGGCAGGAGGCGGGGTCGGGGTGAGGGTAGGGGGTGGGGGGGATGCACCCGAGGGAGAGGCAGAGGGATCGGAGGGCGGAAAGAGACACAGAAAGAAGGACACAGAGATGGAGAAAGAGTGAGAGAAGGAGAGAAGGGCGGGGTGGGGGGACACGGGGTGGGGGGGAGAGGGACAGGGGAGGAGGGAGAGAGAAGCGCAGGGAGGCAGGATGCTGGTGGTCCGGAGGAGAGAGACCACGCCCCTGCCCCGTCCTCACCAGCCGTCCACCGGCGCCTTGAGCAGCTCCGAGACACCGAAGGACATGGCACCCATGAAATCGTTGCGGGAAGTCCGGTCCCAGTCCCACACCTCCACGCTGAGCCGGCGCTCCACGTCCCCCGGCTTCAGGTTGCTGCGGGAAGGGTGGGGCGGAGTGAGGGTCTAGCTCCCCACTCCCCCAACTCCCCCATCCTTGGTGCTGGAGGAGGACGCAGGCCCTTCTGGGGTGAGCTGGGGTCTGTTCCTACTCCCTAAAGTGTCCTGTCATCTCTGAGCCTCCCGAAGGGGGTCTTCCCCAATATCGGGACCTTGAGTACATCTGGACCGCGCTCAGTCTCTCTCCCTTCCTCCCACATTCTTGGCTCCTTCCGATCCCTGCGTCCTGTCCTTTCTCTCCAGATCTCTCTCCTATCTGAGTCTCTGTGCCCCCTCCTTCCTCTGGGTCTCTGTCCTTCTGTCTTTCTGTTAACTGGCTTCTTTTCTCTTCCTGCCACCCACCCACCACCCCTCTGCTTACACCCCACCCCCCTGCATTCTGTCTATGTGTCTCTTTGGGTTTGTGTCTCTTCTTCTGAACACCCGCCATCTCTGTCTCACTCTAAAGTAGTGGGCTTTGATGGAGATTAAATGCACAGATCTCTCTCTCTCTCTCTCTCTCTCTCTCTCTCTCTCTCGGCTTCTGTAACTCCATCACTCTCCCTCAGTCACTCCATTCCCTCTCCCACCGCCTTTCTCTGCCCTTTTCTTGGGTTCCTTCTATCCTAACACCTCCCACTATCTGCTCTCTGGGGTCTTGTGGGCCACCAAGACCCTCAGATCATTCTCTGTCAGCCATCACAGCGTCCCCTGCACCCGAGGCTCACAACACAAAGGTCTCGTTCCACACAGGGTTTAGTGTGGCTTTCACCGTCCGGGTCTTCTGTTTTGTCAAGTTCCGAGGGTCTGGGATAAGCTTCAGCTTCACATAGGGATCCGACAGACCATTGGGATCCATTGGGATGAGGTTACGGGCCTCGCCAACTGAGAGGAGAAGTGAAGGAGGGTAGACCGGGTTAGAGATCCAGGAAGAGGCCCCTAAGTCTCTCCCTGTCGGCAATCAAAAATCCAAGCTCATAGCCATTCTGACGACCCAGGTGTCTTTGGTCTCTTACCTCTCCAGTACCCAGAAGACAGGGCCTAAATCCTTTTTCCCAGCCAGGGACCCAGAAATCAGACCCAGAACCCCCTCCTACCTGAGGACCCTGGAGTGAGGACCCTGGCCATATCACCAATAGTAATCCCAGGCCTCCCTCAGAATCAGGTTTTCTCTCCTCCCTCCCTCTCAAGGACCTTCATTTAGAATGGCCATTAAGAGGTGCTGAAAGGGGGGGGCTCCTGGGTAGCTCAGTCGTTAAGCATCTGCCTTTGGCTCACGTCAGGATCCCGGAGTCGTGGGATTGAGCCCCGCATTGGGTCCCTGCTCAGCGGGAAGCCTGCTTCTCCCTCTCCTACTCCTCCTGCTTGTGTTCCCTCTCTCGCTGTATCTCTCTCTGTGTCAAATAAATAAATAAATAAAATCTAAAAAAAAAAAAAAAGAGGTGCTGAAAGGGGGCCCTTGGGTGGCCCGGCATCGGGCTCCCTGCTCAGCAGGGAGTCTGCTTCTCTCTCTCTGCCCTTCTCCCTGCTTGTGTGTTCTCTTTCTCGCTCTCTCTCTCAAATAAATAGATATATTTTTTAAAGATTTTATTTATTTATTTGAGAGAGGGGGAGAGGGCGAGGGAGAAGAAGACTCCTCGCTGAGCAGGGAGCCCGATGCGAGGTTCCATCCCAGGATCCTGGGATCATGACCTGAGCCGAAGGCAGACGCTTAGCCGCTTAGCCGACTGAGCCACCCAGGCGCCCCAGTAGATAAAATCTTTAAAAAAAAAAAAAAAGGCGCTCGGGGTGCCTGGGTGGCTCAGTCGTTAAGCGTCTGCCTTTGGCTCAGGTCATGATCCCAGGGTCCTGGGATCGAGCCCCACATCAGGCTCCCTGCTCGGCGGGAAGCCTGCTTCTCCCTCTCCCACTCCCCCTGCTTGTGTTCCCTCTCTCGCTGTCTCTCTCTCTGTCAAATAAATGAATAAAACCTTAAAATATAAATAAATAAATAAATAAACAAACAAACAAATAGGGGCGCCTGGGTGGCTCAGTTGGTTGGGCGTCTGCCTTTGGCTCAGGTCATGATCCCAGGGTCCTGGGATCGAGCCCCACATCGGGCTCCCTGCTCGGCAGGAAGCCTGCTTCTCCCTCTCCCACTCCCCCTGCTTCTCCCTCTCCCACTCCCCCTGCTTGTGTTCCTGCTCTCGCTAACTCTGTCAAATAAATAAATAAAATCTTAAAAAAAAAAAAAAAGGCGCTGAAAGTTGCAAGAGTCAAGGCTGGGGACTCCGCTACAAGGTGGAAGGGGCGTGGCGGGGTGGTGCTCAGCCTTTGCAGGTGGGGTCAGGAGGGTGGGCGTGACCCTCAGGGGGTGTGGCCTTCTCTGTAGGGTTGGGTGGGCCGCGCAGGTGAACACCTTGAGCCCTTCCCCCTGGGTAAGAGGGCGGGACCAGACGCAGGAGCCGGGCTTCACCTGTGACGTGTATCTCATCTGCAGTCGGAGCTCGGATTTCCAGCTGCAGGCGCCCACGGCGCTCCGTGTGGTCCACCCCGCACAGAGAGGGCACGCTGCGCACACAGCGTCGGTGCACGTTCATCTCGCAGCCTAGGGGGACAGAACGTGAGGTAGCGTGTCCCGCCGCTCCCCCACCCCCAGACGGCATCCTCCAGCACTACCCGGAACCCAGACACTGCGCTTTGAAAGGGGCCCCGAGGGGCACCTGGGTGGCTCAGTTGGTTGGGCGACTGCCTTCGGCTCAGGTCGTGATCCCGGAGTCCCGGGATCGAGTCCCGCATCGAGTCCCGCATCGGGCTCCCTGCTCGGCGGGGAGTCTGCTTCTCCCTCTGGCCCTCCCCCCTCTCATGTGCTTTCTCTCTCTCTCTCTCTCAAATAAATAAATAAAATCTTTTAAAAAGAAAAGAAAAGAAAGGGGCCCCGGAGCTCCAGGTTCTGGCAGGAGCCGCAAGGGTAGACTCACAGGAGCATTTCATGCCCTGGTGCACCAGCCCGTAGAGAAGGGAGCCGCAGTGGTCGCAAAAGGTGGGGCTGCTATAGCTGTGCAGACGGAACTTGTGCTTGTTTCGGGGGTCCTGGAGGCAGAGAGGAGACATCAGAGGGGGTTTAGGAGGGGGGGTGCCCTAGACCCCTGGCAGAGAAGCCCTTTGAACCCTGCCTCCTCTGCCTTGCTCTCCCAGTCTTCTGCGGCTCCACCTCACTCATTTGCTCTACAATATTTATTGAGGGCCTACTGTGTGCCAGGCACTGTTCTTTGTGCCAGGACCAGCCGTGAACAAACAAAAACTCCTGTGCCCATGGAGTTTCCTTTCTAGTGGAGGGAGACAAAATAAACAGTGAATAAATAAAATAGTTTGAGAGATGGTAGCAGGTGCTTTGGAGAAAAATGAAGCAAGAAAGGGGATTGCCAGGGGTGGGGATTGAAATTTGCAGAAAGTGATCAGGGAAGGCTTCACTAACAAGGTGGCATTTGGGCAGAACCCGCAGGAGGTGGGGGCTCCTAATGTTCCAAGTCCCTATGCTCCCCCCCACCTCCCAAAAGCTGTTCTCTGAGGACTTGTGGGCCACAATGAACTCCAGATGGTTCACTGTCAGCCTCTGTCAATGTCTGCCCACTGACGATCTGCCTTCTCTAAGCCCCTTGTGAGATGGAGAATATGACCTCTCAGTCAATGAAAGACCAAGTGTAGGGGCGCCTGGCTGGCTCAGTTGATGGAGTGTGCGACTCTTGATCTTGGGGGTGTGAGTTCAAGTCCCATATTAGGTGTAGAGATGAAACAAAGAATGAAAAGAAAGGAAAAAAGAGAGAAAAAGAGGAAAGAAAGAAAAGAGAAAGAAAGAAAGAAAGAAAAAAGGAAGAAAGAAAGAAAGAAAGAAAGAAAGAAAGAAAGAAAGAAAGAAAAGAAAGAAGAAAGAAAGAAAGATTAAGTGTAAACTGCATAGCAGGGCCTGGCATGCTAAATGTGCTCAGTACTGTTATTTGTGCTGCTGTGGTTACTACTCATGATTTTATTGCAGTCTCCACATAGCCCTGGGTTTAAATAAGAGCTGGGCCATTTACCAGCTGTGTCATTTGGGGCAAGTTAGTGGCCAAATTTGAGCCTCAGTGTCCTCTTCTGCCCAGTGGAAATCAACAGTCTATCTTGAAGCAATGCTGAATGTCCAGAGTCCAATTAAGCATGAATTTAGGACACCGGTAAAGCATTCCTTCCCCACCCCTGGCAGTGTCTGAGTGTTAAATAATTTGGTATTTGCCTTTTTCTAGGAATGCATTGCGAGAGTTATCACTAGGGTGAAAATTCAGGATATTCTTGGACTTTTATTTATTTTTGCAGTTTAGTGGGGATTCTATTTTGAATGACACTGGGCGGGTGGGGTAGGGTGTGATGATCTCTTTCAACTCTCTGGGCCTCTAACGATCTTCAGCTGACCCTAACTCAAAGGGTGCCTGTCGCTGTAAGTGATATACTATGTAAAAGTTCTCAGCAGGGTGCCTGACTCACAAGCTCCATCGCTCCACGGAGAGAAGCTGTTTTTATTCTCAAGGTGAAATCACCATTACAAAGGAGACAGAGCTGCAGCTCCAGTTAGATTAACATCCACATTTTGACTCTGCCCACTACCCAGCTAGTGGCTTCCCTCCACGCTGTGCTTTGCAGAGACTCAGCCTTCCTTCCTATAAAATGGGGCCGCAAGGCCTCCCTGAAAGGGGTCTAATGGAAATCATGCTTGCCAAGCCCTTCCCACTTCTTTAGCCCCTGATCCATGTGACTGACAACAAGATCAAAAGAATTAAGAAGGAAAAAAACGTCAGAGTGAGGTAGAGGAAGATCCCTCCTCTGCTTTTTCATCGGTAACAGCAACAATTGTACTAGGATAATAATCGATATGTTGTCTCTCGCCATGTACCAGGTACCATCCCAAGCATTTGACTCATTTAGTCCTCAAAACAATCCTTTAAAGTAGGCATGGTCATCATCCCCATTTTGCAGATGAGGAGCTCAAGAGGTGCAGAGAAGTAAATTAAAAACTTTGGAGGGTCACAGAACCTCTGTGTGGTGGAACTGGGATTCAAGCCCAGGTTTTTGGCTCAGGAGCCTCTGCTCAGATGGGGACAGGAACAACATCTCATCTTATATGTTGTGCAGACTCACTCCTGTACTGTCTGCCAGATACCTGCTGAGTGCATGCAATGAGCACTGGATAAATCAGAAGTATTGTTGGTGGTGCAGGTGGGCAGGTGAGGTGGCTAATCATGGACATATATGGGTGCTAGTAGACAGTGGTGCTCAATAGATGTCCTATGAAATCACATCCTTTATGTAAATTTCAATTTCCTTCACCTAACCAGCTGGCAAAATGTCCCATGGAGTTCTGGAGATCTCTCTGCCCCTTTCTCTCTCTCAGGTTCTCATTCTGTCCCTTTCTTCATCTGCTAATCATAAAGCTGGCTCCAACCTTATGTCAAAACCTGGGCTAGACCCTCAAGCCACCTGGCTTCACTGAACTATCAAAACAAGCCGGGGGCTGCCTGGGTGGCTCAGTCGTTAAGCGTCTGCCTTCGGCTCAGGTCATGATCCCCGGGGTCCTGGGATCGAGCCCCACATTGGGCTCCTTGCTTAGTGGGGAGCCTGCTTCTCCCTCTCCCACTCCCCCTGCTTGTGTTCCCTCTTTCGCTGTGTCTCTCTCTGTCAAATAAATAAATAAATAAAATCTTAAAAGAAAAAAAAACAAGCTGGGGGAGGTCGAGATTTATGCTGTCGCACCCAGTATCCACTAACTGCACATGGCTATGTAAATTTAAATCAGTTCAAATTAAATGGAATTTAGATTTCCGTTCCTCAGGCACGGTAGCCCCTCTCAAGTGCACCTCTAGCTAGCTGGGTGTGGCTGGTGGCTTCCGTCATGGACAGCACACGTAGAGGGGAAGTGGAGGCTCAGAGAGAAGAGCCCCAAGGCCAGACAGAAAGCGAAGGAGGGATCAGGAACGGGCCACAGGGTCGACTGTTCCTGTAAGTCGACCTGACATCCCCCCCACCCCATGTGAAGCGGAGGGAGGGAGGGAGAGCTTGTGCGTGTCTCTGTGTGTGTGCATGAGGGATCTGTATATGCACGTGTGTGTGCTCATGGGGATATGTGCATGCACGTGCAGCTGTGTGTGTGTGTGTGCATGCGAGCGCACACGCGTGTGCACTGAAGGGTCTCCCTGGGCCTCCCTCTCCGCGTCTCAGAAATCATTCTCCATATCTACCATTTTCTATTCTAGCTTGTCTCTCTGGGTCTCTGCAGCCCTGTTTCTCTGAGTTTCTTGTCTCTGTCTGTCTCTCTCAGTCCCTGTGGCTCACCTTTTCCTCCCTCCTGGGTTTCTGTCTCTGTTCCATTCCTCTCTCTTTCTCTGTCTGGGTCTCTATCTTTTTCTGCATTTCTGAGATTCTCTCTGTCTTATCTCAGTGCCTGCATCAATAGTTGTCTCTCTCTCTCTGTCCCTCAACTCTCTGTTGTTTTTTTTAAATCTCTTGATCCCTGGATGACAGCCCACTTCCTCCAATGCTCTCTTTGGTCCTCTCACCCCTGCCTCTTCTTGGTCCCCCACCTGTGTCCCCAGCCTGTCTCAGCCCCCTCTCATTTCCCCTTTCCAGGCCAAGGGCAGGGAATCTGGGCCAGACTAGCTCCCCCTATCTCTCCAGCCCCCCTCCCCTCCCAGCCTTAAAAATAGCAGGAGAAATTGGGACGGACGCCGAGGGGGTGAGGGCGGGGGCGCGGCCCAAAGAGAAAAAATCAGGTGTCCGGGCACTCACATCCGTCTGGGGGCCCTTCCCAGCGCCTGGACACTCGAAGGTCACAAATTCGTGGCATCGTCGATGAACCACAAAGCTGCAGACTGAAGGTGAGAATCATAGAGACATAGAGACAGAGAGAGAGCCCAATGGATAGAAAATCGGAAAGACAGAGACCCCTACAGAAAGAAAACCAGAGGGGGGGACCCCAAAATCAAGAGAGTTTAATAGACAATCAAAGGAGAGACCCCCAACATGGAGTGGGGAAGGGAAACCAGGAGACAGAAATTCAGGAGATGGACCCAAAGACAGAAACAGATACACAGAGCATCACAGAGCAGAGAGACCCCAGTGCCTACACACAGCCAAAGGGAGACACAGAGACCGAGAAAGACAGACACAGGGACACAGAGAGAAAACAGGATCCCATCGACAGACACAAGCCCACCGAGGCAAGAAAGCAAGGAAAGAGGCAGGCTGAGGAGGAGAGCAAACAGAGAAATGTCCTCCGACAGAAGAGAGAGAGCAGTGACTTGGGCAGAAGTGAGTCTGGGGGCTGCTGCAGGCCTCCCCCTCCCTGACTCACTCTGTTCTCAACAGTAGCAGCTGGTGCTTTAGGACTCGCCCCCCTCTCCCGCCCCCCATAACTGCCAGCCCCGCCCAGCCCCCACCCGCCCATTGGTGACCCCACCCGGCCTGCCCCTGCCTAGGACTGTTGGTGTCGTCATGGCGACAGCAGCTTGAGGGGGGGGCTCTGACTTCTCATCTCTAGCCCCTCCCTTTCAGCTCCCCTTTTCCAAATCTCCCTGTTCCCATGGCAACAGATTCTCCAAATATCTGTCCCCACCTGGAGCCGGCCGAGGGAGGGGCCCCCAGCACCACCTCCGCGGTGGCCCCGCCATCAGAGCTCCCTCCCCACCACAGGCTGTGTCTCTGCCACACCCCCCGCCCCGGGCTCCCCCGCGCCTCTCTGGGGACCGAAGAACACGTGTGTCAAGCCTCCTGGGCTGTGGGGCCCCAGCCTCCACCCTCCTGAGGGTCCCAGGAGTCTGGGTCCCCAGCTCTTACCTTGACATTGCAGGCCCTGTTTTCCAATCCCCCTGCAAGATCAAGGATCAGAGGTCAGTGCAGAAAAGGGTACCCGGTCTCCCACCTCTGCCAGACTTACTGCACCTTGCTCCCCCCGTGAGCAGGACCCCAGCTGCCTCTTATTCTAGAACCCAGACATTCTAGTCCTCAGCTCTTCTTCTCTCAGACGCAGGAGCCCAGGCCCCCAACCCCTCCTCCCTCAGGCCCAGGAGTCTAGGCCCCCAGTCCGTCCTCCCTCAGACCCAGGAGTCCAGGCCCCCAGCCCCTCCTCCCTCAGACCAAGGAGTCCTCACCCCCAGCCCTCCTCCCTCAGACCCAGGAGTCCAGACCCCCAGCCCTCCTCCCTCAGACCCAGGAGTCCAGCCCCCAGTCCCTCCTCCCTCAGACCCAGGAGTCCAGACCCCCAGCCCCTCCTCCCTCAGACACAGGAGTCCAGACCCCCAGCCCCTCCTCCCTCAGACACAGGAGTCCAGACCCCCAGCCCCTCCTCCCTCAGAAACAGGAGTCCAGACCCCAGCCCCTCCTCCCTCAGACACAGGAGTCCAGGCCCCCAGCCCCTCCTCCCTCAGACACAGGAGTCCGGACCCCCAGCCCCTCCTCCCTCAGACACAGGAGTCCAGGCCCCCAGCCTCCTCCCTCAGGCCCAGGAGTCCAGACCCCCTAGTTCCCTCCTCCCTCAGACCCAGGAGTCCAGACCCCCCCAGCCCCCTCCTCCCTCAGACCCAGGAGTCCAGGCCCCCAGCCCCTCCTCCCTCAGACCCAGGAATCCGGGCCCCCAGGCCCTCCTCCCTCAGACTCAGGGTTCTGGGTCCCCAGCCCCTTCCTACCCTAGGACCAGGAGCCAGGGCTGCAGCCCTCTCCTTCCCCAACCCTCAGGGGTCTGGGGTGACAGGAGTCTCCATCCCTCGTTCCCTCCCTCCTCAGGCCCCCAGCCCTTCCCTCACCAGATGAAGTCGGTGCAGTGGCTGCAGAAGGTTGGCTGCTTGAAGAAGCGGGCGGTGAACTTGTGGCTCTTGACTTCGTGGACCACCTTCTGCCTCAGAGCCCCCTTTCTGCAAAACAGGGGCCGGGGTCCCCCCTCTGAATCGCCTCCGCCGGGGCCCAGGCCTGCCATGGCCCCAGGAACGTAGCAGGGACCAGGATCCTGCCTTTCTGGGGAAACAGGTGGAAGGGCGAGGAGCCGGAGACTCGGGAGAGCACTGAGCCACGGGGAGATTGCGAGGAGGGAAGGAGAGGGGCGAGGCACCTCCAGGCGCGGAGCGCAGGGCGGGGAGCGGCACCCCGGGGCGCGCCGGCTCCGCCAGGGGGAGCGGGCGGGCAGGGCGGAGAGCCGAGGGCAGGGGCGCCGAGGAGCCGGAGGCAAGGGCGGCGGCAGCGGCGGCGGGAGCTCCAGCTCAGGCACCTGCTGAAATGTGGGAGCCCCGGCGGGGGGGAGGCGTTGCCATGACGACCGAGGGGCGGGGTTTCAGTTTAAAGGCGCCCCCCCTCCCTGAGACTGGGGACAAATGCCCTCCCCACCCCCGACACACGTGCGCACACCCACTCCGGGGGCTGGCTGGAGGGAGGGCGCATCCTCTGAGCGGTGCCCTGCCCCCACCTCCTGCTGCCACCCGGCTGGGCTTCCTCCCCACTAGGTGCCTCGGTGGGTCCCCTGAGCCCGCTGAGACTCCACTCGGATCCCTGGGTTTCTGACTGTGTCACTCTGCTTCATTACACAAACTTTGTATTCAGTGCCGGGGACCCGGTGGTGTACGGGGAGGCCTGCTGTCTCTCTCTGCTGCTCTTCAAGTCTTGATTGCTCTCTGGGCCTGGGTGAATGTGTATGTCTGTGTCTCCCTCTGGGATTGTCTCTCGCTCTCAGTCTCTGTCCCTGTCCCAGTGTTCCTGGCTCCCTGTCCTGTGTCTCTGTCCCTGTCCAGTGTTCCTGGCTCCCCATCTCTGTGTCTCTGTCCCTGTCCAGTGTTCCTGGCTCTCCGTCTCTGTGTCTCTGTCCCTGTCCAGTGTTCATGGCTCCCCGTCTCTGTGTCTCTGTCCCTGTCCAGTGTTCCTGTCTCTGTGTCTCTGTCCCTGTCCTGTGTTCCTGGCTCTCCGTCTCTGTGTCTCTGTCCCTGTCCAGTGTTCCTGGCTCTCCGTCTCTGTGTCTCTGTCCCTGTCCAGTGTTCATGGCTCCCCGTCTCTGTGTCTCTGTCCCTGTCCAGTGTTCCTGTCTCTGTGTCTCTGTCCCTGTCCTGTGTTCCTGGCTCTCCGTCTCTGTGTCTCTGTCCCTGTCCAGTGTTCATGGCTCTCTGTCCTGTGTCTCTGTCCCTGTCCAGTGTTCCTGGCTCCCCGTCTGTGTCTCTGTCCCTGTCCAGTGTTCCCGTCTCTGTGTCTCTGTCCCTGTCCAGTGTTCCTGGCTCCCCATCTCTGTGTCTCTGTCTCTGTCCAGTGTTCCCGTCTCTGTGTCTCTGTCCCTGTTCCCTGTTCATGGCTCTCTGTCCTGTGTCTCTGTCCCTGTCCAATGTTCATGGCTCCCCATCTCTGTGTCTCTGTCCCTGTCCAGTGTTCCCGTCTCTGTGTCTCTGTCCCTGTTCCCTGTTCATGGCTCTCTGTCCTGTGTCTCTGTCCCTGTCCAATGTTCATGGCTCCCCATCTCTGTGTCTCTGTCCCTGTCCTGTGTTCCTGGCTCCCCATCTCTGTGTCTCTGTCCCTGTCCAGTGTTCCTGGCTCTCTGTCCTGTGTCTCTGTCCCTGTCCAGTGTTCCTGTCTCTGTGTCTCTGTCCCTGTCCTGTGTTCCTGGCTCTCCGTCTCTGTGTCTCTGTCCCTGTCCAGTGTTCATGGCTCTCTGTCCTGTGTCTCTGTCCCTGTCCAGTGTTCATGGCTCCCCGTCTCTGTGTCTCTGTCCCTGTCCAGTGTTCCTGGCTCTCTGTCCTGTGTCTCTGTCCCTGTCCAGTGTTCATGGCTCCCCGTCTCTGTGTCTCTGTCCCTGTCCAGTGTTCCTGGCTCTCTGTCCTGTGTCTCTGTCCCTGTCCAGTGTTCCTGTCTCTGTCCCTGTCCAGTGTTCCTGTCTCTGTCCCTGTCCAGTGTTCATGGCTCCCCATCTCTGTGACCCTGTCCCTTGCCTCTATTTCTCTGGGGTTTTTGCTCTGTGTCTCCGTCTATGCCTGTGGCCATCCTGTGACCCTCTCTGGGTCTCGGTGTCCCTCTTTCTGTGGTGTCTGTCTCATCAGTGTTCCTTGGCCTCTCGCCGGAGGTCCCATCCATTCCTGTTTCGGTCTCCCTGACTCTCTCCCTCTCCTCGCCTCTATCTGTCTCTGTGGCTCTCTCTCGGTCGCTCTCCACCGGGCTGTGACTCTGGGCCTCCGTGTCTCCGTCCCTCTGTGTCTCTCTCTTGGAGGGTCAGTCTCTGTCTCCCGCACCCCTCAGCCCTCCTTCTCCCCGTGCCTCTGTGTCTGCGAACCTCCCTGTGCTCGCCTCTTCCTCCTCCTCCCGGCCCGGCCCCCTCTCTGACCCACTCCCTGGCTCTGCCAGCGTCTCCCTCGGTCGCTGGGGGTCTCTCTGGATGTTGGAGCTCAGTGTCTCCCGCCCCCACCCCGCCCCCCATCTTTATCCCTTTCTCACCCTTCTGGCTAGGAACCTCTCTCTCCGCGCCTGGGGGTCTCCCCGTCCCTCCACGCCCCCCTCTGGCCCTGGAAAACCCTGTGCATCCCCGTGCCTCCGAACGTCGGCCTCGCCGGGCTCCGGCCTCCGCTCTGTCTCTCCGCCCGCGTCCCCACCCCTCGCCAGTAGCGCCCGGCCCTCCCCCAACTCCCGAGCGCGTCCGGCTCCCGGCTCCCGGAGACCCGCGCTGTTGCCAAGGGCAACCACGGCCCGCCCCGCGCGGCGAAGTGCGGTGCATCCTGGGATTTGGAGTCTGAGCCTGAGGACTACCTGTTGTGGCGACGCGGCCGAGAACTTCCTCTCCCGGCGTGCCCCGCGAGGCGGAGGCGGGGCGCCGCGGCGGCGCCTGGGGACCCGGCCCCCCGCACCTTCTTCGGGAATTTTGGGGGTCCGGGGAGGCTTCCCGAAGCCGAAGGGGAGGTGAGGGAATCCGACTCTTCTCCAAACCCCTCAGAAGTGGGGTGCTCTTGCCTGCCAGCCACCTCCAGGCGTCCGGCCTGCCCAAGGGCAAGGATATGGGGTCGGGGTGGCCCTGGAAACTGACCTAGGATCGATCCCACCTTGCCCTGCTTGGCTGCTTTTCCCGCATCACCAACATATCACCCCCGAGCTCTGGAGCTGTTCTCTCTGGTCCCTTCCAGAAGGGGTTCAAGCGGGGGGTGGGGGGGAGGGGAGGGGGGCGAGACGCCCTTGGAGGAGGCAAGCATGGGTGTGGGTCGGAATTCCGGGGTGGGCACTGCAGAGATCAAACGGAGGCTTCTCCTGGAGAAGGAGTTTATCTATTCCCGTTAGCCCTTCCTTCTCTTCCGGGGGGGCCTCCTCCCTCCCTCGACATATCGCTTGCCATTGCTTTTGCGGGTGTTAAGTGCAGAAAATGGGTTTCATGATCCTGGGATTTTTGCGGGTTTGTTTATGTATTTGTGATTCTCCTCAAGCAACAGGACCTTCTCTGGGACAGATTCATTGTAGGCGTAATTCGTTTGCTCTTTATCAAGGTCTTCTATGGACAGGTTGTGTCAGGGAGCTTGGAACTGGGGGTAGGATGGAGCGGAGGGTGGGCATGTAGGCAGCGTCAGATCCTGAAGGCCCCTGGTATCACCTGTAGGCAGATATGGATTTGAGCAGGGGAGGGCAGTGTCAGAGGTTAGAAGCATCCCCCTGGGGCCAGGGTGGGCAAGAGGTGGGCTAGTCAAGGAAGAGGCTGGGGCTCAGAACAAACAAAATGATACCTGAGCTGGGTCAGGAGCCTGGACAGACAGTGTCTGGTGAGCGACTGACAGAGCCGATGGGAAGAACCAGAGCCTGGGTTTGCAGGCTCGGGAGCCTATTACTGAGATGAGGAACCCAAGGAGTTGATTTTGGGAAGAAACGTTGCACTCAGATGGGGACACTGTATTTCTGAAATGCTCATTGGATTCCAAGGAGGGACAAATCTTATCCATTTCAATCCTAACTAGTTATCCTGGCTTGAGAGAGTAAATTTGGGAGATCCAAAGGCCAAAGTTTTCTTGGCCCCAGGCTCCCTCTTCCACCAGACCCAAGAATCTGGACCTTGCCCTCTCTCCTGGAGCCCTCCTCCCCAGCAATAAAGCAAGCACAGTTTTTCTTTTATCTTTATATTGATGTAAAAAAAAAACCAAAACCATTATGGATGTGGGAGTGAGGAAACGGACAAGTCTTCCCTCTGTGGTTGACAGCGGGGACTGATGGGAATCAGAAGCTCCAGGGAATTTAAAAAAAAAATAAAATATATATTTATACATTTATATATATGACGTTACGCGTGTGAGTCCCGGAGAAGCAGGAAGCAGCTACAAGAAGGAACGAGCATGCAGAAACACACGTGTGTGTGTGTTTGTGTGTGTACCACACTCAAGCAATGCAATTCAATTCTTCTGACTATGGCAACAGCAATCCCCACCTACCCAACCCAACCACCCCCCCAGAAAAAGACGTTGAAAAGAAACTTCCCTTTTAGAAGAGGGCCACCCAGTACATTTTGCCCTCGTGACCAGGAAAAGGAAAAAAAAAAACAAAGAAACAGAAAACAAACAACCAAACAAACCCAGGCTCACATTGCCTTTAAGGCTGGCAGTGGCCAACCTCTTCTCCCAGCAAAGGCAGTCCATGCTGTTTTTAACAGAGGCGGGAGGGCCACATCCCTGCCCCTATAAATACTTCAGACAGTTGTCCTTAAGACCATGCAGTTCTTTGCTAGCCACTTTTTCGATAACCCAGACAGCACTTGGGATGGAAAGCATTCACCCTTTACTTCCTTTAAGATGACCTCCAGGCAGTGGAATTTTAGTAAGCCTGGCAAAAATTCTGGTCAGTAAGCCTGGCAAAAGTTCTGGAGCCAATCTCAGGTGAGGCTGGGGGCCGGGCAGGGCCTGGGGACCCAAGGCCTGTGCTTTAAGCCTCATGCCCGTTGGAGATCACTGGCCTCCAGAGATTAAAGGGGACATGTGCTGTACACCGCCCTCCACTGGGAGAAAGGGAGCCCCATCCCTAGCTACCCACCCCCACCCCCACAAACACACATGTACACACCAACTAAGGCACAGCCAGGGCAGGCAGGCATGCTTTGGCAATGAGGCCCCTCGGGAGGCCCAGGGTATGAACAGCTGCAAAGAGGGGGGTGGGACGCGGAGCTCAGCACCTTTGGAGGTGGGGGGACAGTGGAGTGGTGGCAGAGAAGAAAGAAGTCTCAGAGCTCCCAAGGAAATCGGAAGAAAGAAACCAGGACAGAGATGGCCAGGATACAGGCAGATGAGAAAACAAACAAGAGGACCAGAATAGAGCCGAGAAACAAACAGGTAGGAAAGAAGAGGTGAAAACAGAAAGAGGCAAACAGGCAAAACAGGATGTGGGCAACCCAACAAAACAGGAAGGAAAGGCGAGAGCAACAGGAGAGAGGAGGCAGGAGCTAAAGGAACAGAGAGACGAGCAGGATGAATCGGGGAGGAAATGAGAAAGGTAGGAGAGAGGGAGCCAGGAAGAGCAAATGAGGGCGTGGGAAAGAAACCTCTGCGGACAAGAGGGAATTGAGAGCTCCCGTCGCCGTCGCCGGAGCCTCAGACCCTAACGAAAACCAGGCGGGCCGAGTACACCAGGTCAGCCAAGTAAGCCAGCAGGTTGATGGCCGTCAAGATGGCCACGGCCAGTCGGCAGTCCCAGGCGCACACGTAGTAGGTGTGACGGGCGCTGCAGCTCGCGTCCCATGACCGACGGGGCTGGCCGCCGTGCTTCTCGCTGAACTGGTAGAGCGGCCAGAGAACAATAGCAGTGGCGTACAGAAGGACAGAGAGCAGGGCCAGGCCCGACAGGAAACTGGGGAAGGAGATGGGCAGCATGTTGGTGCATTCGCCCAGGTTCAGCAGGATGGCCACGGCCGCCAGGATGAAGCAGATGGAGTACACGGCCACACACCACTCCAGGGCCGGCTGGTGCTGGTACAGGGAGGGGCTGCTGATGAAGGCGAAGATGATGCAGGCCACGAAGGTCTCCAGCACCTTGAGCAGCCCGGGCACGGTGGCCATGTAGCCGGTGATCTCCCCGGGGCGGGCCCGGGTCCAGGCCACTTCGGTGGCGTAAGCCACGCAAGCGATGCAAGAGAAGGCGGTGGCGGCGATGGCGTGGTCCCGGGAGCGGCCGTGAGGCAGGAACTGGACGTAGGTGGTGGGGTAGATGATGGAGGCCGACAGGCAGAAGAGGGCAGCGTAGCACGCATAGGTGATGGGGAAGTTTCTCCAGGACAGGGGGAAGCGGGACTGGAGCCCGCATAACTCGACCACGAGGATGATGAGGGTCACAGAGAAGCAGAAGCACCAAGTGAACATGGACCAGTTACCCATGATCCCGGTCCAAGCACCCACACTGGCCACCAGGGAGAAGGCCACACAGGTGCAGAGCAGCTGCAGCAGGCGGAGGAGGCCCAGGGGCTGGGTCAGCGCCCGAGGGGACCCCACGATGGCTGGGGAGCCCAGGCCTGAGGATGACGACATGGTGGTCGTGACGGTCGTGCGGGTCACCGTCACCGGCATGGCTGGGAAGAAGGGAAAGGAAGTGTCCGCCAACGGTTCCGCACGTGGGAGTCCAGGCCCTCAGCCCTTCCTCCCCCGGGAACAAAGTGACCTGGACTCTAGCTGGGGGTGGAAACCCAGGGTGCAGGCTTTTCAGTTTTCAAAGTGGGACAGTTGCAGGCCTATGGGGATGAGTTGGTTACCGAGGTCCTAGCCCCCTCCTCCCTCTGGACTCGGGTTTTCTACCTCTCGTGTCAGAACCCAAGAGTCTAGGCCGTCTTTCTCCTTTCCTCTCTCTGCAACCCAACAACTACAAAACCATCTATCTTTCTTCCCACCCGGGGCACTCAAAGCTGCCCTCATTCCCCTAGGGACTCAGCTACCCAGCCACTCAGGACTCTGCTCTAAAACCTCCCAGACCATGGTCAGAATGAGAGGCCCCGCTTCGTGAGCTCTACCTGCTCCCTCTGGCTACCAGGGGCTCTGCACCCCTGGCTCCTGCATCCACCTGCATTTCCAGCCTCCAGACATTCAAGAGTCCAACCTCCAAGTGGGAACGTTCTCAGGGACCCACATGTGATCAGAGCTTCCAACCTCCCAGCCTATCTCTGGAACTGGGTCTGAACTCTCGGGAACACGCCCTCTCATGCCCACCCCCCACCTCAGAGATCAAGGGTCTGTGCCCTCCATCTGAATCCCACCTGGGATTTGGTTCTGGACTACTGCCCCCAAGGACACTGAGCTTCCTCCTGCCTATGCCCCTCCCCCACATGGAGCCCAACCTCCAAGTTCCCCAGCTTCCAAAAAACTCAGCGCTCCAGATTCTTGACTGTCCAGTGCCCCAGCCCCTTCCACTTAAATCTCCAGGCCTCTCACGTCAGATTACATAGCTTCAGACCTCAGGACTCTGGGTCCTCAGCCTTGAGTTCACCAGACACCTGTATTCCGGGAAATCAGCTTCTTTCTTCTGTCCCTCCAGAACCTACAACTTCTACCTCCTTGTCCTAAAGACCCTCAGGGATAGAGGGCCCAGCCTCTTGGGGACCAGGTGTCCAAATCCTCCCTCAGGCCCTAGGACATCTAATCTCTCAGCTGCCACCCCTAAAAGGCTCAGAAGGCCTTTCTTAGCGGCAGGGAAATAAAACTTCCTCCTTCCAGGATCAGGCACAGGAGGGCCTAGAGGACAGCAGAACAGGCTCTAACCTTGCCCAGCTGTCCCTGCAAGAGGCCCTGAGGACCCAGGAGCCCAGTTCCTCGACACACTTCTTTCCCAGGTACACAGGTCCAGGTCCCCAGATGTTCGTCCCTCTGACACAAAAGTCTAGGTGGGAAGCTCCCTCCTCCCTCAGACCCAGGAGTCCGGGCCCCCAGCCCCTCTTCCCTCTGACACGGAGTTCAGGCTCACTCACCTGCGGTCTTTGCCGAGAACCCCGACCGAGAAAGATCCGGCTCTGGAGGTGGATTAAGTCCGACACCTGGAAAAGGCTAGTCAGAACACAGGAGGGAGGGAGAGAGAGTCAGCGTCCAACTCGGCCCCGGCTCCGCCCTACGGGGACCCAGGCCACCAGCCCGCCCAACGCGGGGACTCGCCCAGAACTCGCGGCCAGGCTCTGCAGCCCGGGCGCCCTCCCAGCGGGGGCGGGGATTTGGCCGCGAGCCTGAGAGGTCCCGGAGGTGACCCCAGGGAAGCCCAGCCCCTTCTTCCTCCCCAGTCCCCAAACGGCGGGGGCAGGAATGGAGGGAACCCGGTAAAAGTGCACGCCCTGCGGGCCGGCGTGGGTGTGAGTGATCTTAACCCTGCCCAAGCCCAAGAAAGCCGCGGGGCCGGCGGGCGGGAGGGCCCTGGGCGGCGGCTGCGGGGGCGGACGGCCAGGCCGGGCGCAGCGTCTCCGGGCCTTATAAGGGCTTCAAGTCATCCCAGCCATCAGGAATGTGGCGGGACCGGGGGGGGGGGGAGGGGGCGGGGCTAGGGCCTCCGCCCCGCGCGGGCCTCCGGGAGGGCCCGCCCCACTCGTGGATTTCCGGAGAGGAGGGTCCACCTAGGACGAGAGGCCTGAAGCCTGGATTTCAGGGTCCTTCTGGGTCCCTAGAGCAGGGGCTGGGAGCCTGGACCCCAAGAGGGTCTCTGGGAGACGAGTGGCTAGGAAGCCGGACCCCTGGGTTTGCGCAGCGGAACCCCCCCGACCCCCTCGAAGCAGGAAACTGCGATGTTGGAATCCAGTCCAGAGATTAGTAGCCACACCTCCCGCCACCCCTCGGAAGTCAGGTCCCTGGGCGAAGGCTGGGCCTCCCGGGCCACCTGGGAGGTGCTACGCGGGACTCGGCCACCTCCTCCCCCCACACGCCCTTTGAAAACCCGTTAGGAGGAAGTCGGGACCGGCCTACACTCTGGCGTTCTAGAAAGCGGGTACTGCTGGGTCCCAAGCAGGGAAGGAGGAAGAGCGCGAGCCACAACTCCAGAAGTGCCTCAAGGAAGGAGGTGGGTAGCTCAGGGACCACCCGGAGGGGAGGGGTCCATCTCCTTCCGCCCGGCTTCCGGCCGCCCCCTGAGATCAGAACTCAGGAATGCACAGCCAAAGACAGCCGGAGAGGGGACACACCGCTCCGGCTTCTCCGCGCTGCTTAAGGGCTCCCCCGGCCACGCCCATCCCCTCTCGCCACCTCCACGCCAAACACCACACCCCATCACTCAGGCTGAGAATCGCGTCCCTAAACCCCAGCCTCCACTCTCAGCAACCCAAGGACGCTGGCCTCAGCCTTGGCTTCTCTCCGCCCAGGACACCAGCCTCCCAGTCCTCGCTTTTTGGCCTCTGGGGCCCAAAGTTCGAATTCTGTCCCCGGAATGAAGGGGTGGGGAGCGGGGAAGGCCACTCTCTTTCCCAAACCCAAACTCCCAACTCCAAGCTCCTCCCCTCCTGAAGACCTTCTTCTACTAGGTATCAGCCCCTTTCAACCAGAGCACAGAGGGGTTCCCATCCCTCTCAAACCCAGGAGCCCAGACACCCAGGTCCCTCCTCCCTCAGACCCAGGAGTCCAGGCCCCCAGCCCCTCCTCCCTCAGACCCAGGACTCAGAGCCCCAGCCCCTCCTCCCTCAGACCCGGGAGTCCAGACTCCCAGCCCCTCCTCCCTCAGACGCGCAGGATTCAGGACCCCCGTTCCCCTCCTCTTTCAGATGGATGACCTGTATGAGTGCAGGTCTCAAGCCCTGTCCTCTCCAGAACCCGACTCCTGCTCCATGCCCTAGTCTTTCTAGAGAGTCAGACACTTCCGACCCCAGCCCTTCCCACCCTGTGCACCCAGGAATCCTGACCGCGGCTTCCACGCCGGGGATTCCGCAGCCTCACCTCTCCCGCAGGCGGCTGCTGCCGAGCAGAGGCGGCAGCTGCAGACTGTAAGGGTTTGCTTACTGGGTGGGGTCAGCGGGCTGGGGCGGGGCCGGGGGCGGGGCCGGGGGCGGGGCCGGGGACCCGGCGGGAGCGCGGGTTTCGGGCTGAGATAGGGACTCCCCGAGCCGGGGTATCCCAGCCCCACCCCCGAGGCGGGGCCAAGAAAAGACCACGCCCCTCCCCGGATACAATGGACCGAGCCTCCCCAGCCAAGCCAGTGGTGGGGGTGGAGGGCTGAGGTCACTGTTGCCGTGGTGACAAAACAGGAAGACACAACAGCTGGCGGTGTGGAGGCTCCTGGGGGCTGCCCTCCCCGACTCGGCCCTCGCGCAGTCTCCAGGCGCGGCCCGAGAAGGCCGTTGCCATGGCAACCCCTCTGTTTAGCGTCTGTTTAGGACGGAGCCCCCCGCCCAGGTCCCCCACCCCAGTCTCACCTCACTCAATCCTCCCTCTCCCTTCCGGCCCCCTCCCCTCCCCGTCTGCTCCAGCCCCGCTCTTCCAGGACGCATGAAATCTTGGACATCTGGGTGGCAGCCGGTTGGGAGACTAGGCCTCTCAGTTTAATGGGGTCTGTGGGCTAGGGTCTCTGAAAGGCGAAATAGTTGAGGCTGCTGATCTCTAGGCTTTAAGGGGTTTCTGCGCTGAGGTCCCCGACTCCTGGGTCCCCAAATCTTCATTTATACTGGGACTCGCGGTGTTAGGGATTGGTGGGCGGGACTCCTGGGTCCCAGATGTCACAGTCGATGGGGGCAGGGGAAGGGCTGTTGATCGCAAAACGCCTGGATCTAGGGCGGTGGGAGTCGGAGGCACGGACTCCCAGGTTCCAAATGACGCCTAGGCTGGAGGCCCAGATTCTTGGCGCAAAAAGCCATCAAAGCTCAGACTCCTGGGTTTTCATCCGCTCAGATGTGGGCGCAAGCCGAGCCTCCTAGGTCTGGAACGGAGAGATATTTTGGCCTGCATTCCTGGTTCCCGGATTGAGGGAGGGGCTCAGGAGCTCGATGAGGACCGGGCTGGGAGGCAGGGGGCTTCAGATTCCTGGTTTCTGCAAAAAGGGAGGGGCCCGAGTCGCCGGTCTGCCCGAGGCCCACAACAGGGAGGGGCTGCGGGGTCCTTTCTTAGGGCGACTCGGGGGCCCTGAAACTGAGGGACGGAGTCCAGAAGCAAGCTGAAGCTGAAGGTCGGGATGCCTGCCCGGGGTAGGGGCGGGGACCGGGACGCCTGGGTCCCTCCCTGCTGGCCCTGCTCACTCACCGCGCTCTGCAGTCGTCCCCGGTGCGGCCTTGCTGGCGGCTGCCTCTGGGCGGGGCCTGGTGGCGGCTGCGGACGCTCCGCGACGCTGAGCTAACGGGGCGCTGCTGGGTGCCTTCCAGGAGGACAACTAAGGAGGCTTTGAGACCCAGCCCTAGGGTGGAAGGCGCGCGAGTCGCGACGGGGTGGGGTGGTGGGAAGGGGTCCGGGAGCCTGTCTAGCAGGCTGCGTGCCCTACGGAGGTGGGAGGGGCTGGGGGGCCTAGAATCGGTGAGCTCGGCAGTATGGGGGGGGCATGGGGGGGAGGGATGAGGAGCGTGCCTGCCCACTTTTGTGCCCCCGCAAAGGGGATAGGCACAGACCCTCTCTGTCATTTCTGTGCTCTGCATAGGGGAGGGGGTCTCCATGAGCCAGGCATCCCGGCCCTGCCTAAGGAGTCAGGACACCGTGCGAGTTGGAGGTTCTCCGGCGTGGTCCCCGGGTTCCACTCAGACACCTCCTTGGCCCCCAGTGCAGAGGCATCTCTCTCCCGCTTCCTGCCCCAGTCAGTCACCCTCTTTGACCCCCATAGCGGCACTCAGATACCCCAAATAGTCCAGGGGTAGCCTCCACCCACACAATTTACTATGTTGTACTCTCTGGTGGAAATGTTTTTCTTTAGGCACGAAAAGTCCAAAACAGCAGAGTTCAGGGTAGCAGGAAGAGGAAGCAAATATTGAAAGAATGAGTCACTGGGTGTGATCTTGAGAAGTGATACCTTAGGGTTCCTGGGTATGTAATCTGGCACCATGCATGTGCCCCTGGTTCGGAGTGTTTGCCCATCCTGTAGGACGGCCCCCAACACCAAGGATGTTGTCTCCAACCTGGCACTGTAATGCACTCTCAAACAGGCTATACCTCTGTTTTATGAAGCTCACTGCTTTGGGGGGATGGGGTACATGGGCCTGCCCACCCACTTCCTAATAAATGGAATTCCTTGATCAGAAGCAATATTGTGTGGGTCAACATGATGGTGAATAGGGCCATTCAGTGGGTACACAGATGCTGCTGTTGGTGGGAGTGGGTAAGGAAAGGAAAGCAAATAAAACCCAGATTTAATTATTCCAGGGAGGAAAAAGTCATTGCTCAATTCATGATGGTGGGAGCCCAACATAATTCTCAGGTGACCAGGTGTTTGGCTGGTGTCCCTAGGAAACCTACCACGCTAGGGGCTCAGCGCTGCTCAAGGAAGCACTTTACTTAGTATTACTGATTTATTACAAAGGATGCAACTCCAGAACAGCCAAATAGAAGAGACACATAGGGCAAAGTATGGAAGGAGAGATGGAGAGCGTCCATGTGGAAATACCACCTCCCAGCACCCTGATGCATTTACCAACCTGTTTAGGAATTTTATGGAAGTTCCATTACATGGGATGGTTGATTAAATCATGGGCTATCCATGATCAAGCTCAATCTCCTCCAGGGAGGTCAGGGCTTAGGGCTGAAAATTCCAACCTTCCAATCACAGGATTGGTTTCTCTGGCAGTCAGCCCCCATCCTGAGCCACCTAGGGGCTCCCCGTGACTCATCTCATTAGCATAAACTCAGGTAGGATTGAAAGGGGCTTATATTGAATAAAAGATTCTCCTCTCACCCCAACCACTCAGGAATTACAAGGGTTGGGAATGCCTGGGTGGCTCAGTCGGTTGAGCGTCTGCCTTCAGCTCAGGTCATGATCCCAGGGGCCTGGGATCGAGTCCCACATCGGGCTCCCTGCTCAGCGGGGAGTCTGCTTCTCCCTCTGCTGCTCCCCGTGCTTGTGCTCTCTGTTTCTCTCTCTATCTGACAAATAAATAAATAAAATATTTTTTTAAAAAAAGGAATTACAAGGGTTTTAGGGAGCTCTGTTCCATCAATATCACATGGATCTTTCCATACATACTCCAGGTCCATCTGAAACTTGCATTCATTCATCAACAAATATTTATGAGTGAGCACAAAGCAGGCTAAGGAATACCTCCTCTCATGGAGATTTTATCTCATTTGTTAGTGGCAAAGGGCTTGAGATGCAGTAACTTCATCTGAATGGGATATTCCCACTGTCATCAGACTACCTGATTCTCAGGTAACTTCCTTGAGGCGACAGGCTCCCGATTTTCATGGTGTTTATCTCCCATGCTCTGGCATGTGTGTGTCTTAATAAGACATACAGTATATCTATCTGCTCCGTCCTGCTTTTCAGGTCTTATCTTCTCAGGTGTTATCAGCATTAGATCATATATGTGGTTCAAGTATCTTAAAAAAATAGAGAATTAGTGTAACCCCAGGGGAAGGTAAGACAATATTGCTGTTTACCTGTGTTACTGTTCTCGGGCTGCAGTAACAATCGTCACAATCCCGGTGATTCAGAACACAGAAATTTATTCTCTCGCCATCCTGGAGGCCAGAAATCTGAAATCGAATTATCAGCAGGGCCTCACTTACTCTGAAGGCTCTAAGGAAGAATGGGTTCCTTGCTTCTTCCAGCTTCTTGTAACTGTGGGTTCCTTGTCTTGTGGCCTCATCACTCAGGTGTCTACCCCCTGTTGTTATGCACCTTCTCTTCTCCTCTTCAGTCTGTCTCAAATATTCCCATCCACCCCTTATTAGGATATTAGGACATTTACCATAACCCAGGATGATCTCCTCTCCGCAAGATCCCTAAGTTCATCATCACATCAGCAAAGACCCTTTTCCTAAATAAGACAGCATTTATAGGTTCCAGAGATTTGGATGTGGACATATCTCTGGGGCTACTATTTAGCTACTACACCATCCCTAATGAAAGCAAACTGCATCTAGTTCCTCTGTCTATTGTGATAGAGATAAATGGATTGGCCATTCTAGATGCCACGGGCTGGGTTGATTTCATCCAGCAGGGAGTTCGCACCTGGAATAGCAGCTGCAATTGGAGTTACCCTGCTGGTGTCCCGTATACCCAGCTGTGAACCTTGTGGAAGTGGGGAAGAACGAGGGGCATTAGGGTCCTGTGTGTCCAGATCTCAGTTTTCCCCAGAGAGGTTGGGTTTCTTGAGATGATGGAAACCCATGACTCCGGCACCATACAGGCGGGAGACTCCTAGATGCTGGCTCTCAGTCACCACTACCCTGCTCCAGCTCCTCCCTGCTCAAAGCCTCAGAAACCCTTGCTTTAAGTCCTGTGGAAGTATTCCACAATCAGCAAATCAAATTCCCCTATCAAAGCAACTTCAGCCTCTTCTTCTCCTTCTTCTTCTCCTCCTCCTCCTCCTTCTTCTTCTCCTCCTCCTCCTCCTTCTTCTTCTCCTCCTCATTCTCTCTCTTTTTTTTTTAAGTGGGCTCTACACTCAACGTTAGAGTTGATGCTAAGAGAGAGTTTATGCTAATGGGCTTGAACTCACAACCTTGAGATCGAGAATCACAGGCTGTACCCACTGAGGCAGTCAGGCACCCCAAAGCAACTTCTTTAAGTGTTTTTCTCTTGCCTTCAATGAAACAAATACACCCCTGGAGCACCTGAGTGGCTCAGTTGGTTAAGCATCTGCCTTCAGCTCAGGTCATGATCCCGGGGTCCCAGGATGGAGCCCCACATAGGGCTCCCTGCTCAGTGGGGAGTCTGCTTCTCCCTCTCCCTCTGCCCTTCTTCCTGCCCCCCATGCTCTCTCTCTCTCTCAAATAAATAAATTAAATAAATAAAATCTTAAAAAAGAGAGAGAGAGAAACAAAGTCCGCCTGCCCCCCAGCCTGTTCTCTGGCCATACCACCTTTTTGTCACATCTACTGACCTCCCGGTCACTTGCCCTCATTTTCCACATGGTTTTCTGACATTCTCTAAAGAGCTTCCCATGAGCAGGTCATAGGTGGGCTGGGGGACATTGATTTCCTCAGCCCTCAGAGTGGCCTGATTGCCTCTGTCTATGGCAGGCTTATCTGTTTACCTCAATGAGCTGTAAAAATATCATCGTGTTTCTATTTTCCACATGATGGGAAGGCCTTTGGGAGGCACCTAGAGGAGATGCAGCGTTGATGGTGCTCTCCACTCCATCATCTGCTCAGTTTTCCACGCCCCTCTGACCTCAACCATTCCTCCTTCTGCCTTGCTTTCTCAGGAGCCCCCACCATGACCTTTTCTTTTTTTTTTTTTCCACCATGACCTTTTCTTAACTTGATATGAACCCGCATCTGCCCACCCTCTCTTTCCTTTGGGTATGATTCCAGGGTCCATCATTTCAATAATACTCTTGTCATGTTAGGCATCTAACACTCCTTTGCCCTTCTGTCTTTGTTTTGTTTTGTTAAGATTTATTTATTTATTTATTTATTTATTTATTTATTTATTTATTTTAGAAAGGCAGGGAGGGGCAGAGGGAGAGGGAGAGAATCTCAAGGAGACTCCCCGCTGAGTTCAGAGCCCCACATGGGGCTCAATCTCAAGACCCTGAGATCATGACCTGAGCTGAAATCAAGAGTTGGACGCTTAACCAACTGAGCCACCCAGGCGCCCCTGCCCTTCTGTATTTGTAAGGCCCCAGTCTTGGAGAAGAACTAGCCCATCGATCAGGTTTCGTTTTGTTTTTCCAAGCTTATCCCTAAGCAACTGAGCGTTACTGAAGAAAGTCACCTTACAGTGCCGAATGTTTCCACCATGAATATGTGGTGGCCGAACCCTCCATGAGCTCTCAACATTGCCCACAGTCCCACTGCTATCACCTGGTCAACTCATCCTCGTTTCCATGGTGACCAGTGCACTATTTTTATCCTCTTCAATCTCGGACACACTTTCTGCCTCCAGCCCTCCCCCCTCCCATTCTCAGCCTATGACCTGCCTCCTTTATTTGAGAGATGATAGAAAACATCATCTGGGAAGTCCCCCAGTCTCCTAAAACCACAGACCTGACTCTATTTCCAGGACTACCTTCCTCTAACAAGTACAGAGTTGTTCTTTTTACCTCATGCCAATCCTTCTTAGCTTCGTGATTTTTATTTTTATTTATTTTTTTTTTAAAGATTTTATTTATTTGACAGAGAGAGACACAGTGAGAGGGGGAACACTAGCAGGGGGAGTGGGAGAGGGAGAAGCAGGCTCCCCGCGGAGCAGGGAGCCCGATGCGGGGCTCGATCCCAGGACCCCGAGATCATGACCTGAGCCGAAGGCAGACGCTTAACGACTGAGCCACCCAGGCGCCCCGCTTTGTGATTTTTAAATACATCCTTCTCCTCATACCCTTGCTATTGCTATTACTATCCATCTTCTTTTTGGATAGTCAGTATCTCCCACTCAAAGAATCTTTCACTGACTTTTCAAAAAATGATAGTTATATTTAATTGTGGTAAAAGTGCACGTAACATAAAATTTACCTTTTAGATCATCTTTAAGTGTACAGTTCAGTGGCATTGGGTATAACCACGCTGTGACCATGTGAAGACGCAGAAAAGATGGCAGTCTACAAGCCAAGGAGAGGAACTTCAGAAAAAAAACAATCGCACATTGATCTGGGGTTTCTAACTTGCACAACTGTGAGGAAATGAACTTCTGTTTATTTCTGTAAATTCTGTAAATTTCTATATCACCCAGTCCATGGTACTTTCTTATGGACCCTCTCCCCCCCGCCCCAGCAAACTAATATGGATAACTGATGCTGTTGGTATCTCCTTCCAACCTGAAACACTGTCCTCTAGGATTACGTGGCACATCATTCTCCTGGTTTTCCTTTTGCCTCTTTGGGCTCCTTCTCTGACTCCTTTGTAAGCTCATGCTCCTTTGATACTAGAGTTCCTCAAAACTCTTCCTGAGCCCCTGCTCTTCTCATGACCCACTCTTGCTAGGGGATCCCATACACACCAGACTTCGGGTGGAACCAATGGGTAAACAACCCATGTACTAGTGAAGATCCTAGCTGAGCAAAGGCAAGATATCAGTGGCTGAAACAAGGGCTGACCAATAAAAACAATAATGTGAGCCATGTGTGCAATTTTAAATTTTCTAGTAGCCACATTAAAATGAAATAGAAGGAGGGGCGCCTGGGTGGCTCAGTTGGTTAAGCGACTGCCTTTGGCTCAGGTCATGATCCTGGAGTCCCTGGATCGAGTCCCGCACGGAGCAGGGAGCCTGCTTCTGCCTCTGACCCTCCCCCCTCTCATGTGCTCTCTCTCTCTCATTCTCTCTGTCTCAAATAAATAAAAATTAAAAAAAAATATTAAAAAAAAATGAAATAGAAGGAAAGGGTTAATCTTAACAACATATTTAATCCAATACATCAAAAATTTCAACATATGACACTAGCCACGTTTCCAATGTTCAACAGGCCCATGTGGCCAATGGCTGCCGTATTAGACAATACAGACCTACGCAAGATAATGATATATTTCTCTCTCTTCTAGCAGTCCAAGAGTTAGCAATCCAGGGTTGATATGATACCTCCACCGTCTCGAGGAACCATTCTCTCTTGTTGCTTCAACAAGGGCTTCTGTCTGGGATCCAGCATGTGATCCAGATCATACCCCTATGTTGGCATTGCCTCCAGCAGGAAGAGGGGAACAGGGAGAGGTTGGCATTCTTCCTTCTTTTCGAGGGTGTAATCCTGAAATTGCATTGTCCAGAACTTAGCTGCATGACCACGCGGAGCTATAAGGGAGACTGGGGGAATCTAGTCTTCAGCTGGGGAGACATATGTCCAGATAAACCTTCTATTACAGAGGAGAGAAATTGGGGAAAACTACTGATAGGAATAGACTACAACTCATAGAAATAGACTGCAACCCAGATCTGTGCGCTCCAGATGTGTGTTTCCAGGTGCCCCCGTGCCTCCCCGCGGATGACACAGAAGTCCAAACTCAACACATCTACAATGAACAGAAGACCTTTCCTCCAAAAAGGAGGAACACACAGCACACACCACCAGTGAGTATCGCCAGCCCTCATCCAGTTGCAGAAGGCAGAATGCTAAGTCATCACGGATCACCTCAGCCCCTACATCCAGGACACCCCTAAGTCCTGTCATGTTTGCTTCCTGTATTTCCTCTCAGATTCACCAACTTCTGTACATCTCTGTACTAGTCACATATTGCTGGATAATAAATTTCTCCAGAACTCAGTGTGGTTTTGTAATACTTTTTTTTTTTTTTGAGAGAGAGAGAGAGAGAGAGCGAGCGGGGGAGGAGCAGAGGGAGAGGAGAGAGAATCTTTTTTTTTTTTTAAAGATTTTATTTATTTGCGAGACAGAGAATGAGAGACAGAGAGCATGAGAGGGAGGAGGGTCAGAGGGAGAAGCAGACTCCCTGCCGAGCAGGGAGCCCGATGCGGGACTCGATCCCGGGACTCCAGGATCATGACCTGAGCCGAAGGCAGTCGCTCAACCAACTGAGCCACCCAGGCGCCCGAGAGAGAGAATCTTAAACAGACTCCATGTCCAGCATGGAGCCCGACTTGGAGCTCCATCCCAGGACCCTGAGATCATGACCTAAACCGAAACCAAGATTGAGGCGCTTTACCGACTCAGGCACCCGGGCACCTCAAAACTCAAGTGTTTTAAAGGAAGGAAATTCAGACACCCGCTACAACACAGATGAGCCTGGAGGACATTATGCTACATGAAATAAGCCGGACACAAAAGGGCAAATACTGTGTGATTCCACTTACATGAGACATCTCTAGTAGACAGAGGTATGGATACAGAAAGTGGAATAGTAATTACCAGGGGCTAGAGGCAGGGAGGAATGAGAGTGTTTAAGGGATACAGAGTTTTAGTGTGGGATGTTAAAAAGTTCTGGAAATGTGCAGTGGTGAAGGTTACACAACCATGAGAATGCAGCGGGTCCCGGCTGGCTCAGTGGGAAGAGTGTGCAACTCTTGATCTCAGGGTCATGAGTTTGAGCCCCACAGTGGGTGTAGAAATTACTTAAATAAACCAAAAAAAAAAAAGACTTACTTTTGAAGCCAAATACTTGAGTGAGTGTTGTGTTGGCACAAAGCTACATGAATAACACAATGGAACAGACTGGAGCTTTCAGAATAGAACAGGAGAAAGTGGAAAAAAGGAAGCACTCTGAACCCCCCCCCTTTTTTAAGGAATGTTTGAGTATTGCAGTGTGATTTGTAAGAAATCTATATTTAGTCCCTCCGATGACCAAACAGATATTTCTCCTATCATCCACAGTTCTGGATCACAACTCCTGAAAGCCTTGGGATTTCCTGTGATAAGAATGATAAATTATCTTTTGTTAATTAAAAGGAGATTTTGGGACCCCACCCAAGGGCGGGGGCTGGTGGCCAGGAGGACCAACCACGTGACTAGAGGGTTGGAATTTTCACTCCCCCTGACCTCTGGGGAGGGGAGAGGTTGCAGGTGGAATCAGCCAGTGGCCAATGAATCAGTCAATCATGCCTATGTAATGAAGCCTCCAAGAGCCCCGAAAGGACTGGGTGGATTCAGAGAGAGCTTCTGGTTTGGGGAGCGTGGGGGGACCTGGGAGAGTGGTGATCCAGAGAGCAGCACGGAAGCCCCACGCCCTTTCCCCACACCTGGCCCCATACATCTCTTCCATCTAGCTATTGATAAATATCCTTTAAAATATCCTTTGAACCTAAGTGTTCCCTGAGTTCTGGGAGCTGCTCTAGCAATTTAAAAGAACCTAAGGGGGGTGTCTGGGTGGCTCAGTTGGTTAAGCATCTGCTTTTGGCTCAGGTCATGATCCCAGGGTCCTGGGATCCAGCCCCGCATCAGGCTCATTGCTCAGCGGGGAGTCTGCTTCTCCCTCTGCCTGCCGCTCTGCCTACTTGTGCTCTCTCTGTGTGTCAAATAAATAAATAAAATCTTGTAAAAAATTAAAAGAATTGGGGCGCCTGGGTGGCTCAGTCGTTAAGCGTCTGCCTTCGGCTCAGGTCATGATTCCAGGGTCCTGGGATCGAGTCCCACATCGGGCTCCCTGCTCCGCGGGAAGCCTGCTTCTCCCTCTCCCACTCCCCTTGCTTGTGTTCCCTCTTTCGCTGTGTTTCTCTCTGTCAAATAAATAAAAAAATCTTTAAAAAAAAATTAAAAGAACCTAAGGAGGAGGTTGTTGGAACCTCCAATCTATAGCCATTGGTCAGAAGCACAGACAATGGGTTGGGGTGTTGCGGCGGGCATCTGTTGTGGGGGTGGGGGCAGTCTCTGTAGAACTGAGCCTTTAACTTGGGGGATCTGGTGCTATCTCTGGGTAGATAATGTCAGAATTGATTTGAATTCTTGGACACTAGCTGGTGTCCAAGAACTTGTTGTGGGGTGGGGGAACCCCTCCCATGTTGGAATAGGTCCGGGAACCCTAAAAGAGTTGGTGTCAATAGAAGTATGGTAAATAGAATTATCCAAATTTTACTAGAATGGATTTTTGCAAGGTCCACACTTGCTGGACTGGACTGGCCTACAGCAATCCTCAAGAGTGAATCAGTCCTTAATGTTCTCACGATGACCGGGAAACCCACCCCCTCAGAAGTACCTCTCCAGAGTTCTCAGTATCTCTAGTTCTTAGACCATCTAGCACCAAAGCCTACGAATGAATTTCTGCTTTCTTCCAGAGCAGCACCGTCCAATAGAAATATAATGCGAACCACAAATGTAATTTAAACATTTCTAGTAGCTACATTTTAAAAAGTAAAAAGAGACAGGTAAGTTAACTTTAATAACATATTATATATAACCCAAATTATTGATGAGATGTTTTATATCTTTTTTTTTTTTTTTTTTTAGTAATCTCTATACCCAATATGGGGCTCAAACTCACAACCCTGAGATCAAGAGTCCCGCATTTTACCGACTGAGCCAGCTGGGTGCTCCTACATCATTTTTTTTTTTTTTTGAAGATTTCTCCGTAAGATCTAGCTGTTGGCCATGGTGATGATGCTGGCCTGTACTCTCTTCAAAATTCAGGGACTATTTTGCATTTTTTTTTAAAGATTTTTTATTTATTTGAGAGAGAGAGCACGAGCCAGGGGGAGGAGCAAAGGGAGAGGGAGAAGCAAACTCCCTGCTGAGCAAGGAGCCTGATGCAGGCAGATTCCAGGAACCTGGGATCATAATCTGAGCCGAAGGCAGATGCTTAACTAACTGAGCCACCCAGACGCCCCACTATTTTGCATTTAGAGCACATCTCAATCTGGATGCTAAGTTTTCAAGGGAAAACGCTTCATCTGTAGGTAGAATTCATAAAATAGCTGAAAAAGTAAATCCCTACGCCCAAGTTGTCCAAACATACTTGGAAGTTATCTAACCGTATCAAGTATCAGCTTTTATTTTATTTTTTATTTCTTAAATTTTTAAAATTTATTTACTCGACAGAGAGAGACACAGAGAAAGAGGGAATACAAGCAGGGGGAGTGGGAGAGGGAGAAGCAGGCTTCCCGCGGAGCAGGGAGCCCGATGTGGGGCTCGATCCCAGGACCCTGGGATCCTGACCTGAGCTGAAGGCAGACGCTTAACGACTCAGCCACCCAGGTGCCCCAAGTATCAGCTTTTAGATTAAACATCAGTAAAATGTTAAACCCAGTTCTTTAGTCCCACTGGCCAAAGCTCAAGACACTCATCATGGCTATCGTATTGGATAGCTCATCCTTAAAGCGTTACTTCCTCACGCTCAGAGTGGAACTCTGTGTTTTTGAAGTGTGCCAGCCTAAACCAGCAAACAGATTCCAGCAGTACTTTTAAAAAATAACAATATAATTGTGGGGCGCCTGGGTGGCTCAGTCGTTAAGCGTCTGCCTTCAGCTCAGGTCATGATCCTAGGGTCCTGGGATCGAGTCCGGCATCGGGCTCCCTGCTCTGCAGGAAGCCTTCTTCTCCCTCTCCCACTCCTCCTGCTTGTGTTCCCTCTCTCGCTGTGTCTCTGTCAAATAAATAAATAAATAAAATCTTTAAAATATATATAATTGTGACCAAGTGGAGTTTACTCTGGAAATGCAATAGAGAATGGCTCAACATGGAAATGGCTCATATTCAGAAACCATTAATGAGATGTTATCACATTCGCAGAGCCGGGTAGGAAGAAAAGCCTATGACGATCCCATCTATACGAAAAGAGTATTTGGCAAAATTGAATCTCTATTAGTGCTTAAAAAACAACAACACTGAATGAGTAGGAAGTTATAGTTGCCAAAGCTGTTAGACATCTGTGGTCCTCCAAGGTTGCTGTTCTGGGAGGGACTTCCCTGGTCTCTGGTATCAGGGCGCGCCTACGGCCCCTACTTCTCGGAATGCTCTTTGCAGGACGTCAGCATATATAAACGCTATAGAGAACACCAGGTATTTTGGGGGCTTCCCGGTATCTAGACCCCCCACCTTCTTACTTTGGGAGTAGTTCCTCGCTGTGGGTACTGTGGTGGGGGCTGGTGTCTGATTTTTTAGGAAGCCTAGGGGAGCCAGACCTGCCTTCTTCCTAACCCTTCGGACGTAGTGATAATTGAAAGCTTCCTCCTGGGCCTCTGATTAGGCAGGAAAGGACATGGGGACATTCAGAGTGCAGGCGGAAGGGAGAAGGCTTCGTTCATTGGTCAAGCGAGGAGAGGAGGGGTTGTCCAGTGGAGACGGTGGGCGGTGGCCACCCCGTGGCAGCTTCCCAGCTGCCTGTGGTTTCACATGACTTTAGGGACACTCTGCTGGTCTATTCTTGGCTTCCCACCAAATTCCCAAGCTTGATTGTCTAGCCTTCCCATGCATAATGTGATTTACTCAGGGTCCCTCCCATAAATGCCTTCCCTGCTTCTTAAACCCAGAAGCAATGTCATTTGCAAACCAGGACCTCAGTAGGGAGGAGCCCTCGATGCCGATGCTACCCTGCAGGAGACCCTCAGGAATTACCCTTCGTGGGATCTGAAAGGAGATGTCATGGCCATGAGACGATTTTCATTTTCCCCCATAATGCAGATTGGATTAACAGATGGTGACTTTCATCCTCCTTAAGTAAAACAGACTGGAGTCTTCTGTTTTGAAGATGTAGGCTGCATTTGTGGGGCGGAGGGGAGGAGGTGAGGAAGGAAATCTAGTTGATTTGTAAAACTCCCCTGCTAAATGTTCTTATCGGATGGGAAACAAATCAAGTCCCCAGCTATAGGGGACTGGATAAG